ATCCATTTGGCTCTTGTAAGTCGCTAAGTCGCTTTGCCTGTAACCTGTCAGCCATGTGTGTACAACCTCTTTCTCTCGGTGTCTGCAGGTGGATGTTTGTGACAGAAGGAGACATGAAGAATGTGTGTGGGTGTCGTTGATTTATCTCATCTCTACCTCTACCGTTTGTGTCCAACCTCTTCGGTGTCTGCAGGTGGATGTTTGTGACAGAAGAAGACATTAAGAATCTGCCTTGCTTTCAGGTGACTACCATGTTTGATACTTTGATTTCCTCGCTCAGGCGACCTGCTCTCAGGTGATTTGCCTTTCCCTTTTCCTCTTTTTTTTTTTTCCCAGTTTGCTTGTTGCCTACCGCAGCTTTCGTCATGACCCTAATCCTATGTTATATACGACTGTAATGCCCTGTTGGTGCCCATGCCGCCTGTGCAGAACGAAACCCTAATTGCCATCAGAGCCCCACACGGCACCATGCTCGAAGTACCCGACCCAGAAGAGGTGAGCTGTTGGTATCCTCGCCTGTAGCGCATAGTTACTATGAGGTTCAAACCCAGCCAGCCCACCCGTGAAGTCCCTTCTTTGGTGTTCGCTCGACAATCACCGCCATGCCCCTCCAAGCTAGTGCAGCTTTGCACAGCGCAAAGTGAGACATTCGCTTGTTTAAGTTTCCCAGAGAAACATTCAAATATCATGCGACATTCCTCCTTTCACATTGCCATCGTCTCTACCAGGGCTTTGCACAGCGCAAGTACCAGATACTGCTAAAGAGCACCAGTGGGCCTATCGATGTCTACCTGGTCAGGTGGGTGCTTCTGTTATCTTTCTCTCTGTGTTGCTGCTGCTCCTGTTTTTTTTTTTTTTTTTAACTTTGTTGGCACTAGTGTGTCACGCGTGTTTTTTGTTTTTTGTTTGTTTTTTTTTTTTCGCCCCTTTTCTCCTTTCTGATGTTTTTAAATTTGTATTAATTTATTTTATTATATTCTTTATTTTGTTTCTTATTATTATTTTTTTAACCGTCTTGAAAATAGCCATGTGGTATATGTCCCACCACTGTGCTGCATTCCCCACAGCCGGTTTGAGGAGAAGTACGAAGGAGCTGCGCCTTCCCAGGCGGGTCAGCCAGACCAGCAGCAGCCGCAGCAGCAGCAGGGGCAGCCGCAGCAACCCTCGTACTCGCAAACTCCCAACCAAGCATACACCACACCTGCTGTGCTGGATACTCCTGGAGGAGCAGGGGCAGCGGCAGGAGCAGCAGGGGCGGGGGCAGGGGCAGTGGCAGGAGCAGGGACAGGGTATACCCCTGGGGGAGGAGCTGGGGGGGCAGGGGGAGAAGGGGGGGCAGCAGGGGCGGGTGCAGGGCGAGCAGGGGAAGCGCAGTCAGGCATCGTGCGGCTCACCCCTGCCGAATCACATGTATGTGGGGAGTCATAAGGGAGCATGGGGGGGGACTATGTGGGTGGGCGTGAGTCTAGTGAGTGCAATGGGAGCATCGGCGAGTAGAGAAAATGTCACGTGTGAAATGTCGGGTGAGGAGCATGGGAGCGAGTTGAGTGGCTTGGGCGAATGCGAGGAGACTTATGTGGCTTGTGCAGACTTATGTGTATAGTCCGCACAAGACCATGGGAAGCATAGTCAGGCAGGCATTGTGTGGCTCAGCCCTGCAGAGTCACATGTATGTGGAATGTGACGAAGGGAGTGCGACTTAGAGGGGGGGGGACTGTGAGTCGAGTGAGTGTGATGGGAGCAGGGGGAAACGGGGGAAGCACAGTCAGGCATTGTGCGGCTGACCCCTGCAAACTCTCTCCCGTAGTGTACACTCCCTCACATATTCCCCACTCTGCCTCATATCTCTCACTCCCTCCCATATTCCCCACTCTGCCTCATATCTCTCACTCCCTCACATATTCCCCACTCTGCCTCATATCTCTCACTCCCTCACATATTCCCCACTCTGCCTCATATCTCTCACTCCCTCACATATTCCCCACTCTGCCTCATATCTCTCACTCCCTCCTTGCCCATGGCAGGACTACTGGTTGCTGCCAGATCAGCAGTTGGGGCTCACAGACATGTGGCGACCTGATGGTATGTGTGTGCATAGAAAGGGTGGGTTAGAGGTGGTGGGATTAGGGGAGTGTTGCTGGCTGGGCCGATGGTGACTGTTGGTGTCTTCTTGCTACCTGCCGGATCAGCAGTTGGGGCTTACAGACATGTATGTACGGAGGGGGGCTGAAGAGGGGGGGAAGGGCAGGGGGCTTGATGGTGCGTGCAAGTACGTGCTAAACATTGCCGGCCGGATTAGCAGCTGGTATGTGTGTTGTTGTGTGGGAGCCCGTAGGGTGGGGGGAAGAGCAGGTGGCTGGCCGGATGAGCAGCTGGGACTTGCACTTGCAGACAGGTGGCGACCTGATGGTATGTGTGTGTGGAGAAGAGAGAGAGGGGGACTTGACGCTTCTGATGGCCCCTTACAATCCATGACTGAGGGACATGACATGCCCCATTCACACACAACCCCCTTCCCACTCTTCCGCTTTCTCTCCCTTACCTTTCCTCCCCCCCGTGCTCTTCACCCCTTCCCATTCCCCCATGGGGCCCATGGGAGGACCCCACTCGTCTGAACCCCTCGGGTGCAGGCATGCCTGGGGGAGGCAGCGCCCCACATCTCACCCATTCTCTTTCTTTGACTCCCTCTGTTCCTCTCAACCACCCTTCCATTATCCAGGCCCATGGGAGGACCCCACTCGTCTGAACGCTTCTGATGCAGGCATGCCTGGGGGAGGCGGCATTCCACACGCGTTTGAAACCCCACCACACACCAGCACCCTTCCCAGCATCCACTAACTGACCGCCTACACACACCTCAAAGCAACACCGCCTCTCAACGCAACACCGCCTCTCAACGCTCCCTCAAGGATGCCTGGGGGAGGCGGCCCTTCCCATCCTTTCAAACGGCACTTCCCATGCGTTTGAAACGCTACCACACACCAGCACCATCCCCAGCATCCACTGACTGACCGCCACCAGTCTCTGTCCTAGGATTCACTGACCCCCTCCGGGCATTCGTGTTGGGGTATTGCATTCAGCCCAACACCTTCCCAGTGACCTCCCTGCTTCACCATCCATCGACATAACCACCAACTGCAAGCCACTCCACCTCCATGCCCCACCCATCCACTTAAAGCCTTTGAAATCAAGGGGTTCGAGGTGACGAGTCCAGCCTTCTGATTGGCCACGTTCCCAGTGACCTACATGCCCCGCCATCCATCCACACCCACATAACCCTGAACCTTGACGCAGTTCTAACCACATGCCATGCCACCCATGTGCTGGGTAGGTGGTGGTGCTGCTTCTAAGGCTAACCCCTCCTGCTTGCAGCTGCACGGCGTTTTCAAGACCCCTTGAGAAGAAAAAGAAAACGTGTACCTGCTTTGCTTTTAACTGCAAGAGATGGAGCTGCTACTTCCTCCTTGGTAGTTCCTTCGCTCCTCTGGTGTGGACATTCTCCAGGGGTCATGGTCTTTTGATCATTATCATCCTCCCTAAACTGGCTTGGCAGTAGCCCTTCCAATTCTGGGTTTTGTGTCTGTTGTTTGATTGGTATGATCTTACAGGTGAGTGCTAAAGCCTTTTTTTTTAATTCGTTTGGCCATGCGTTGAAATCATGTACTATGTGGTATCCTAATAAAAGTGCCTAGTCCTGTTTCACCTCGTTAAATTAGTAAATCTAGGGATTTAGTAATGATATAGTTTCATGGAAAAAGCTACATGAAGTATGTATACACTGCGATATAGGGTGACTCGATCAGGCTGCCATCCACGCTTCGCGATGTTCTCTGGGTCTGTCTGACATCACACTGGGGAAGGAAGCAGTTCAAGGGAGGGGCCTAGGGGGTTTGCGTTTGATTACGGTGCTAAGCAAAAACCAAGGTTTGAGAAACATTTCAGCAAGATTTGCTTTCCCTTTCACCACAGTTGGTGCAGAGAGCCTCCTAGTCCCAGAGCAGCACGCCGCATCCTCCGCCACGATTCGCGGAGCGTTCCCGTAGCAGACGCCTGCATCTGTCCAAACGCGTTCATTCACACGCGCGTTTCACGGAAAAACGACGTAAATGCGACACACACTCTCCCCACAACGCGTCGCGACGTGAATGGGGTCGACAAGCTTCTAGCGTGGGATCCTATAATATATAAATACAGCTCCGCTCTGTAGAAGCTCGTTGCACAGGGTCAGAGAATCCATTCCCTCGATATAAGCTCCTCCCTGCTACAAAACCGCATTTGCCGGTTAAGCTATCATGGCGACGCTTTGCTCTCTACGATCAGCGGCAGCGATAAGTCTCCCGCCATTTCCCGCTCGCATTTCGTCCCAGTTCTCCGCTTCTAGTGATGCTGCCGGTGCTTTCGGCTCGCGATCTCGCTTAAGCCTCTCCCCTTACTCGTGTCCTTCCTCTTTCTCGCGGCTATCCCATCTCTCGTCAGGCCATCCCACCTCTCCATCCTTCCCTCGTCCCACGCCGTTCCTAGCTTCAACCCCCGTGAAACCCGCTGCGTATTGCGCTCGCGCGTCCAGACCTCCGCTCCAAGTGACCCGCGCCGCGACAGAACGGAGTGGCGCCAGCGGCGGCGGCGGCGGGGGAGGGGGCGGCGGGAAAAACTCCCCCAGCTGGGCGGATGCGCTGTGGCGCGGCACGCTGAGGCGCCTGGCGTCATTCCCGCTGGCCATCGGGTTGTTGTTCGCTGTTGCTGGGCTGTGCGCTGTGGGTGCGTGGATGAGTGCTTGTAGAAAAAGTGCTGTGGGTGTGTTGATGAGTTAAAAGATGCCACTCACTGAGTCTACGCACTGGTGGATGCGCTGTGGCGCGGCACGCTGAGGTGCCTGGCGTCATTCCCGCTGGCCATCGGATTGCTCTTCGCTGTTGCTGGACTGTGCGCTGTGGGTGCGTGGATGGGTGCTTGTAGAAAAGTAAATCTCGAATCTGACTTCAGATCATTGGTTCTATTCTATGGTCCAGGTTCAACGGTTCAGATTCTCAATGATATCTCTAGGTTACATGCCACCACCTCCCATCCTTCCCCCAACTCTCCATTTTGTTCAAATTCTCGTTTAGCCTCGTTTTCCCCTCCTCCTCCCACTTCATCTGCGCTGCCCCACTCCCACCCCCCAGGCACCTTGATAGAGCAGGGAGCACGGCCGTCCGATTACATGGTGCTATTTCCCGATGGCACCTTGCTGAGCTGGCAGGTCGTGCTGGCTCTGGGATTCGACCACGTGTACAGCTCGCCGCTGTTCCTCTCCCTGCTGCTGCTGCTCGCTGCCTCCCTTGCTGCCTGCACGTCAGTGCGCCAGCTGCCCATGCTCAAGGTCGCACAGAGGTGGGGAATACTGGTTGGTGAGGGTGAGGATAACGTCGTTGACTTTTGAGTCGACTCAAAAGTCACCTCAGAGGTGAGGAATACGGGCTGGTGAGGGTGAGGATAACAGTGTTGGCCCCTACGATATAAGCCACTCTTGATGGGACTCTAGAGTCGACTGCTGCTGCTGCTGCTGCTGCTGCTGCTGCTGCTGCTGCTGCTGCTGCTGCTGCTCACTGATTCCCTTGCTGCCTGCACGTCAGTCCGCCCGCTGCTCATGCTCAAGGTCGCACAGAGGTGAGGTGAGGCGAGGGGTCTCACACACTGTGGTGAGCGCAAGGATATGTAGCATACAGAATGAAACGCAGACTGTTTTTATGAAAAATGATAATAAATACAGTGAAAAAAACAACACACACACACACACACACACACACACACACACACACACACACACAGTCACACAGTGTGGTGAGCCAAGGATATGTACTATTCGGAATGACACACACTTTTCTCCCCCTCTCCTCACCCTCCTCCTCACTTGCCCCCTCCTGTCCCCCATCCCCCTCTTCAAATCCTGTACGTCGACCGATCAGGTGGTCCTTCATCCAACGGCCAGAGTCGCTCCGCCAGATGGACTTCTCTGATTCGCTGGAGAGGGCGCAGATTGCTGACCTGGCAACGCTGCTCATGCGCAAGGGCTACCAGGTGCGGTGTGAGGCTCGGTGGGTGCGGTGTGAGGCTCAGTGGAAGAGTGGCAAGAGTGGTGGTAAGAGGGGTGGCAAGAAGATGGGATGCGCTTTCTATCTCATCACCACGCGACTTTTGAGAATTCTCAAAAGTCACACCACCACACCACGCGTACATCGCTGGTCCACAAGAATTCTCAGAAGTCCCTGTATGCTGCTATCTGGTGATGTCTTATCTCCCTCTCCCCCTCCCCCTTTTTTTCCCTACGCTCCCCCACAGTTCTTCCAGAAGGGCTCATCTATGTACGCGTTCAAGGGTCTGCTGGGCCGACTAGCGCCCAGAGGCGTGCACGCTGCTATGTGCTGATGTCTTACCTCCCCCTCCCCCTTTTTTTCCCTTCGTTCCCTTGCAGGTTTTCCAGAAAGGACCATCTATGTACGCGTTCAAGGGTCTGGTGGGACGACTAGCGCCCAGAGGCGTGCACGCTGCACTGCTGTTTACCTTCCCTTTCCTTCCCTTCTCATTCCTCCCCTTCTTTTCCTCTTCCCCCCTTTCTTGCAGGTTTTCCAGAAAGGCTCATCTATGTACGCGTTTAAAGGCCTGGTGGGCCGATTAGCTCCCATCGGTGTGCACGCTGCGCTGCTATTGGTCATGGCCGGGGGTTGCTACAGTGCGCTGGGGGGTTTCCAAGGGACTACCCTCACGCCACAGGGGTTAGACGTGGTTGTACCCTCTGCACTGCAGGGCAACAGCATCTTTGCCCGGCCTACCACTGCAATGAACATGCTTGTGCATGTGAATCGTTTTTACATCGAGTATCGACCGAATGGAGAGGTGAGGAGATGGAAAGAAGCTATTGCTTTGCTACTAGCTAGCTAGTATACACCAGCTGCTTCCCGTGCTTTCCTTGCCCGGCCCGGCCCACCACAGCCATGAAAATGCTGGTGCATGTGGAGTCGGTTTTAACGAGGTGACTTTTGAGTCGACTCAAAAGTCACCAAACACAACAACCCCCTGCGCAGGTGACTTTTGAGTCGACTCAAAAGTCAATTGCTGGTGCCTGTGGATCGTTTTTACATCGGTGCCTCACAACAACCCCCTGCGCAGGTGACTTTTGAGTCGACTCAAAAGTCACCAAACACAACAACCCCCTGCGCTGCCCACCTTCCCTCCTGTTTCTCCCTGTATCCGCTCCCTCACCCGCTCTTCACAACAGTTGAAGCAGTTCTTTTCAGACCTCGCAGTCACGGACCTATACGGCAGGGAGCTGCAGAGGAACACCATAAGCATCAACGACCCCTTGCGCTGCCAGGGAGTCACCATGTATCAGACCCACTGGGCCACACAATCACTGCCGCTTGCTCCCTGCCTCTTGCTCCGTGTGCTTTTCTGCTATCCAACTCTCTTCGCAACAGGTGAAGCAGCTCTTTCAGACCTGTCAGTGACGGACCTATACGGCAGGGAGCTTCAAAGGAACCCCATAAGCATCAACAACCCCTTGCGCTGCCAGGGAGTCACCATGTACCAGACCGATTGTGTCATCACAATCACTGCCCGTTGCTTTCCCTCTTCCCTGCCCCCCTGCCCCCCCTTGCCCTCTGCCCCTTGTGCGTTTCTGCTTCCCCACTGCCTTCCACTTTTCACGCCTACAACAGGTGAAGCAATTCTTCTCAGACCTGTCAGTCACGGACCTATATGGAAGGGAGCTTCAGAGGAAGACACTATCGGTGTCAACGACCCCCTGCTTCCCCCCTCGCCTCCTGTTTTCCACCCCTTCCATTAACAGGTGAAGCAATTTTTCTCAGACCTCTCAGTCACGGACTTATATGGCAGGGAGCTGCAAAGAAAGACCATCAGCGTCAACGACCCCCTGCGCTGCCAGGGAGTCACCATGTACCAGACCGACTGGGCGATCTCGGCCGTCCAGCTGCGATCCGACGGTGGAGAGCCCTTCAAGCTGCCCATGGCGTCGCTCCAGGAGCCGGGCAGCAGCCAAAAACTTTTTGGGACGTTCTTGCCGACGGGGGAGGAGGAGAATGCGGATGGGGGAGAAGCAACGACCACGGGCATGTGAGTTGGGACAGAATGAAAATTTTTGCGGGTGCGGCGGCCTTGTTTAAACGGATCCCTTCACATAGAAATTTCTCAAAAGTCACAGCAAACTCCGTGCCCCCACTTTCTCATCCCTGCAGAAGCACCGTTTCTCGCGACCTTCAGAACGTTCTGGGTGTGATGTGAAGGTCGCGAGCAACGATGCTTCTGCAGAAGCATCGTTGCTTGCTCCTTTACTTACGACTTCACGGGCGAGTTTGTGGGTGTGATGTGAGGGGCCCTTTGTCGAACCGAACCCCTTCACATCACACACCATCCCTTCCCTTTTTCTCGTCATCCTGGACCTGCAGAAGCATCCTTGCTCGGGATATTCAGTATACGACTCTAAGGGCGAGTTTGTGGGGGTGAGGCGGCCGGGGTCAAGCTAAACCCCTTCGCATCACATCACACCCGCTTCCCCTACGCTTTCCCCTACTGCAGAAGCATTCTTGCCCGCGACCTGCAAAACGTGGTGATCTACGACTCGAAGGGCGAGGTCGAACTAAATCCCTTCACATGCCACCCCTTCCCTTACTTCGTCCCACCCATGCAGAAGCATTCTTGCCCGCGACCTGCAAAACGTGGTGATCTACGACTCGAAGGGCGAGTTTGTCGGGGTGAGGCGGCCGGGGTCGAACCGACCAATCACAGTGGAGGGGAAGAAGCTGGTGGTAGATGAGCTGATCGGCAGCACGGGGCTGGAATTGAAGATGGACCCAGGCGTGCCCTATGTGTATGCTGGCTTCGGTGCCCTCATGCTCACCACCGCCATCAGCTACCTCTCTCACTCGCAGGTACGCATCCCCTCTTGTACACACTTTCTCCTCCCTCCTCTCTGACCAGAAAGCACAGGTTTCCAGCTGATTCTGGGATTGGCCTTGAGTTTGTGGGGGTGAGAGGGGGGGGGAGGGGGGGGGGAGGGGGAAGTTTGGAGTTGCAGTGGAGGGGAGGAGGCTGGTGATAGATGAGCTGATCGGCAGCACGGGGCTGGAACTGAAGATGGTCCCTGGCGTGCCCTATGTGTATGCTGGCTTCGGTGCCCTCATGCTCACCACCGCCATCAGCTACCTCTCGCACTCGCAGGTACGCATTACCCTGTGCATTGCACATACTTGCTCGCTCCTATGAATCCACTGTCGCCGGGGGGATGATTGTAGATGGGGAAGGTGGGCTTAGGGTTTCCCTATGTGTATGCTGGCTTCGGTGCCCTCATGCTCACCACTGCTATCAGCTACCTCTCGCACTTGCAGGTGAGATGGCATGGCATGGCATGGCATGGCGTGGCATGGCATGGCACGGCATGGCAGGGTAAAGCAGTAGCGCAGGGCATGGCATGTGGGGTGAAGTAAAGTGAAGCCACTTCTGAGTGCCTGGGTAGCGGGTGCTGCTGATCAAGTAAAGGGTGAAATCCCACTTAGGTGCTGCCGTGCCCTTTCCGTATGCTGGGGGCGGCACTCTCATAATCACCGGATTCACACCCCCGATTCAACCCGCCTCCCTCCCTGTATGCAGGTGTGGGCATTGCAGGTGGGATCAACGCTGTTTGTGGGAGGGAAGTCAAACCGAGCCAAGCTCACTTTTGAGCAAGAGATTAACTCCGTTCTTGACCAAGTGCCGGAAGTGGTAACCGCATCCGACGCTCTTGTAACAGCTGCACCAGCATCATCAGATCGCCCAAATGTAGAGTAGAGATGTGAAATGGATAGAATGAGTTCCACTGAGCAAGAAATGGTTTTAACATTTGTGCGATACTTGCAATGGTAACCACCAGAGTCCCCAGTTTTGTGAGCTGCATTTTTGCAACTTCTGTAGAACATACAGTAACAGTGCTTTCTAAGGTTTCATTTATTCAAAGCCATACTGTACCAGGGTTAGAAACAAATGTTGCAATACAATACCCATGTGCAGTGAATGTCTTGGTGGAAAAAAACAGAGTAGAGGCCATGGCTCTACCGTTACCAGCAGAAGGCACCATGGTGAAAATCTGGAATTGCCTGGAAAATCTAGTGGTGACAGCAAATGAGTGTGGACAATTACAGTAGTAGCTGGACAGTCATTTCCTACTATGGTAAAGAAAATAGGAATATCATTTAGCTTGAGTTGAGAATGTGTATCCTACACTACCTTTGAATTGCTACCTTGAGTCTTGTTGCACATTGCATGCGTAGATTCTTACGGTATCCCCTCATGCCACCGTTGGTGACCAGCGGTTGGTCGTTTGAGAGCTGGAGCGTGAGAGACTCCGATGCTGCTACAAGCTGCTTACTGATTCCCTTCTCATTGTTGCATGTTGCATTAATTCATACATTTCTTGCAGCCAGATCACTGTTCGTCATCTTGAGAGCTTAAGCTTGAAAGACTCTATCGCTGCTACAAGTTGTTCGCTGATTCCCTTCTCATTGGCCGAATGCCCGGCGTCTGGAACAATCTGTTACCACATGAAACAAAAGATACAGCTTCAAAGAACTCAAGAATGCACATAAAATATGTTGTTAAGGTGCATGCAAGAATGAGCACAGCAGAACAACGAATGGATAGTGATACAGGCGTTGCTTCATTCCGTACCTTGAACTCAGCTTCGGGCCAAGCCTTGTGGAGCTCCCAAGCCGACACAATTGGGCAAACCACGTCATACCGACCCTGGAAGTGGCCAGGCAAGATTACAGAAACGAGCCAGCACCAATGAGTAAACAGAGAGCAACCAAGATAGAAAGGTAACATCTGGAAAAAACAGGATAAGGGTAGGTATCCTTAGAACCCTCAGAACTCACCTGCACAATAACGCTTGGGATGTGTCTGAACTTGGGCACTGAGTCGAGATGGCTTCTGACTCAATAGTCACCTTTTCTAGGATTTTTAGACCTGGTGAAACCAACCTGAACGATGACGGCTGGGATGCGTCTGAACTTGGGCACTGAGTCAAGCAGGAAGGAGTCAGCCGGCAGGAAGCCTTTGTTCACAAAGTAGTGGCTCTCTATGCGCGCGAATGCCTGCATAGGGGTTGAGTGTAAAGGGGATACGGTGCATAGGGGTTGAGAGACGGGTGGCACCGCAGGAATGGCCGGAAGCCCCCTTGTTCACAAATTAGTGGCTCTCTATGCGTGCGAATGCCTGTGGAAGGGGTGAGTTGGGTGCAAGTGGGTGGGAGTGGAGTTGTGAAGAGTGGATTGACTCTTGAGGAGTCGGCCGGCAGGAAGCCTCCTTGTTCACAAAGTAGTGGCTCTCTATGCGTGCGAATGCCTGTGGGAGAGGTGAGTTGGGTGCAAGTGGGGGAGAGTGGAGTTGCCAAGTGTGAGTAAATTGACTCTTGAGGCGTCGCACTAATGGCAGGAAAGGAAGCCCTTGTTCGCTAAGTAATGCCTCTATATGCACACAACCGCCTGTGTGAGGGACGAGTGTGAAAGGTTGGGTGTGTGGTGTGGACTCAAAGCGACTGTGTGAATCCATCAGACAATCCAGGCCAGAAAACTTACAGATTCAGCACCAAACCGACAAAGGTGGTGAGAAGATGTGGCCCTAAGGCGCCTCATTTAACAAAGAAAGGAAGAGGAAAACGATGACAACAAATAACTTGCCAGAGCGAATTTATCGTCCTCGCCTCGTTTGAGGGAGTCCTCGTTGGGAAGGAGGTAGCTGGTGGCCATCTCCCACTCCGTCCAGTGCCGCGCTGCCGCCACCTGTGGTGTGACAGCAGGTGGGATGGGAGACTAGCAGCAGCTCTAAGCGTTTGAAATGCACAGCTCAAGGCAGCAGGCAGGCAGCAGGTAGCTAGTGGCCATCTCCCACTCCGTCCAGTGCCGCGCTGCCGCCACCTGGTGTGATGTGATCAATCAAGGATGATGGCAGGGAGGGAAGTATAGGGCAGGGCAGTGAGATGGGTTGCACGGTAACTAACAGTGAGGGGCAGCAGGCAGCAGGCAGCAGGTAGCTAGTGGCCATCTCCCACTCCGTCCAGTGCCTCGCTGCCGCCACCTGGTGTGGTCATTTACCTTGTCAATCAAACAAGGTAAATGACCAAGACATGTAGAGCTGCAGTATCATGGTATCATGGAATGGTTGGAACGTAAAGTGTGTGTGACACATCCAGAATTAACGTGTCGGCCCCAAAACTGTCACCACTTTCACGTGATAGGTCGAAGGTTTTGAGTGGGTTTTTGACGCGATTGGTTCTCGATTTTCCCACCGAACCTCCTTCTGGGGTTTTCCGAACTTACAATGTTTTCGTTGACTTCGTTGTGTAATTCGGGGTGTGGCCTTTAAGTACCTTATTCAAGAGCCTATGTGTGGCTTGGAACCATCCTTACCTGCTGGTCAGGCTCAAAGTCTTCCATATCTGCTTGCCAGGCTCGGAGCCACCCATACCTGCTGGTCAGGGTCGGAGTCGTTCATAAGTCTCTTGTGGTAGGCTGTTACCAAATCTTGCTGCTCGTCCTTGGGAATGAATTCGCGGTACTTGTCAAACGCTGCAAGTGATTGTATTGAGTGTGATTGTAAAGAGGAAGGGGGGGGGGGGAGGCGGGCAGGGAGGAGGATGCAACTGTTTTTAGATCGTGCTGCTCCTCCTTGGGAATGAATTGCGGTACTTGTCAAACGCTGCAAGTGGGTTTATCAGGTGTGATTGTAAGGGGGGGAAAGGGTTTTGGGGGTGGGGAAAGTGGCTGGGAAATGGGGGAGGAGATTGAGGGAGAGAAGGGAGCGGGAGGGGGGACCACCTGTACCTCTGAAACAGCAGGCAGCCGATCATGAGAAAACAGAAACAGGTCACTGTTATGATCGGCATCACTGAAAGGGCACGAAGCTTTCCTTTCACACCCTCCTTTATCTCACCATCGGGGGAAATGGAATCAGCTCCCTTCTGATAAACCCACTCCACCTCCTTCCTCCTCAGCAGAAAGATTCCATTACAGCCCACCCTACCTTGCTGCCCACCCTCCCTTGCCATCCACCTTTATCTCACCATCCGGGAAAATGGAATCAGCTCCCTTCTGATAAAACCACTCCACCTCCTTCCTTCTCAGCAGAAAGATTCCCCGGAGAATCAAGCCTGCTACCTGCAGGTGTCAAAAGGGAAGAGTGGGGGTAGACATGGAAATAGTAAAGATGATGAAAAACGTCTCAGGGGGCAGGAAGGTTCCTTGAAACATCAAGCCCTTTAGAGGAATGAATGACAGGGGAAGCGTGTGAGGGTTCACGAAAGTAGGCGAGGAGGTGGAGGGTGGGTGAAGCGTGTAAGGGTGCAGGATGTTTTTGAGAATTCTCAAAAACACCCTGCAGCAGAATGAATGACAGGGGACGCGTGTGAGGGCAAATGGTCTTCAATGCGAAGAAGATATATATACATATATCTTCCTAGACCCTATATATATATATATATATTCACAGCATTGAAGACCACCAACAACATACCCTGTCTGGGTGCACGGCTGAATACACGAGCGAGAGGGTGGCGTACACTGAGGCGCCTCAAAAGATATCCTCCCCCCTCCACACCCCCCCCCAATTCCCTCCTCCCGTCCCACTTCTGGCCACACACATACGCACATACCCTGTCTGGATGAGTGGCTGCATACACGAGCGAGAGAGTGGAGCCCCATGACCCTCCAAACACCTGCCATGCACATGCCCACACGCATGCCCACACGCATGCCCACACACATTTCCACACGCATGCCCACACACATGCCCACACGCATGCCCACACGCATGCCCACACACATGCCCACACGCATGCCCACACGCATGCCCACACACATGCCCACACGCATGCCCACACGCATGCCCACACACATGCCCACACGCATGCCCACACGCATGCCCACACACATGCCCACACGCATGCCCACACGCATGCCCACACGCATGCCCACACGCATGCCCACACACATGCCCACACGCATGCCCACACGCATGCCCACACGCATGCCCACACATGCCCACACACATGCCCACACACATGCCCACACGCATGCCCACACGCATGCCCACACACATGCCCACACGCATGCCCACACGCATGCCCACACGCATGCCCACACGCATGCCCACACGCATGCCCACACGCATGCCCACACGCATGCCCACACACATGCCCACACGCATGCCCACACGCATGCCCACACGCATGCCCACACACATGCACGCGCACACACGCATGCCCACACACATGTACACACGCGCGCGCAATCGCACACACACACACAGAGGAATAACAGGCGAATGAATCTGAGCTGAGCAGCCTATTTATATATCATGCACTGAGCACTTCGCTCTGCCCAACACCCCACTCAGTCACTGCCACTTATCGACCCCCAGGTGTTTCCTCAGGGTCTCAATATCCTCCAGCATGTGCCACGTGGTATTATTTTCCAGGCACGCATGCGGTGTCCCAAACATTTCAACTTGGTGTTCCTACTCACCAGCCACTTATCACCCCACTCACCAGCCACTTATCAACACCCAGGTGTTTCCTCAGCGTCTCGATATCCTCCACGAGGTGCCACGTGGTATTCTCCTCCAAGCAGGCATGGGGAGTGCTCCTGCCCGCGCCCCGCTGGTCCAGGAGGATGATGCGGAAGAACGTCGGGTCAAAGAACCGCCTGTTGGCCGGGGAGGTGCCGCCTCCTGGGCCTCCATGTAAGAAAATGACAGGCTGCCACAGGAAAAGAAGGGTGGCATCAGGCGAAAGGGGGGGGAGGTGAACAAGGGAAAGGAGTGTGCTCCTGCTCCTGCCGCCGCCCCCCCCGCTGGTCCAGCAGCACGATGCGGAAGAACGTCGGGTCAAAGAACCGCCTGTTGGCCGGGGATGTGCCGCCTCCTGGACCTCCGTGCAGGAAGATCACGGGCTGTCACAGGGAAAAGAAGAGGTTCAGGGGAGGAAGGAAAGAGGCGTGGTTGTGGTGCTGCTCCCCTGAAAATGCAGCTTTCTATTTGACGATGTAACAGAGACACAGGGAGTGAAGGGGAGGAGGAAAGTAAAGGGGTGTGCTCCTGCCCGCCCCCTGCTGGTCCAGGAGGATGATGCGGAAGCACGTCGCAAGCTGCAAGGCTACGCCTAGCAGACATCTGTTACCTGGCCATTGACTTTTGAGTCGACTCAAAAGTCACCTTGCGATGCTACGCCTAGCAGACATCTGTTACCTGGCCATTGAGTTTTGAGTCGACTCAAAAGTCACCTTGCGATGCTACGCCTAGCAGACATCTGTTACCTGGCCATTGAGTTTTGAGTCGACTCAAAAGTCACCTTGCGATGCTACGCCTAGCAGACATCTGTTACCTGGCCATTGGGGTGCCGCTCTCCTCCCAGTTGACGGTGTGCTCTGTGCACGTCTGCGATAGTCACACCATCTAACTAACACGGCTATATGGGCGATTATTGAGGCAAGCCGAACTTAGTTTCCATACCTGGCCTTTGGGGTTGCCGCTCTCTTCCCAGAAGACCGTCTGCACATCCGAGACAGTAAGGGTGCCTGACCTATACGGCTCGATGGGTGCGTACAGCTCGTGCCTCACCCGCACTCGCGCTGCTGCCACGCTCTCGCGTTTGACTTTCCAGTTGACTCACAGGTTACCTTGTTACAATGGCACACTGCTCATGCTGCACCCGCACACAGGCTGCTGCTACACTCTCGTGATTCAAGTCAGGGCATCATTCGTACCTGGCCTTTGGGGTTGCCGCTCTCCTCCCAGTAGACCGTGTGCACGTCCGATACAGTAAGTGTGCCGGACCTATACGCCCTACAACAGGTAGCCTCAGTAGTTGTGTCGTACCTGGCCTTTGGGGTTGCCGCTCTCTTCCCAGTAGACAGTGTGCACGTCAGACACAGCCAGTGTGCCGGACCGATACGGCTCGATGGGTGCGTACAGCTCATGCCTCACCCACACTCGCGAGCACACAGTGCTGTCACGCTCACTTTTCCCTTGTCAGGGTTTCATACCTGGCCTTTGGGATTGCCGCTCTCTTCCCAGTATACAGTTTGCACGTCAGACACAGCCAGTGTGCCGGACCGATACGGCTCGATGGGCGCGTACAGCTCATGCCTCACCCACACTCGCGAGCACACAGTGCTGTCACGCTCACTTTTCCCTTGTCAGGGTTTCATACCTGGCCTTTGGGATTGCCGCTCTCTTCCCAGTATACAGTGTGCACGTCAGACACAGCCAGTGTGCCGGACCGATACGGCTCGATGGGCGCGTACAGCTCATGCCTCACCCACACTCGCGAGCACACAGTGCTGTCACGCTCACTTTTCCCTTGTCAGGGTTTCATACCTGGCCTTTGGGATTGCCGCTCTCTTCCCAGTATACAGTGTGCACGTCAGACACAGCCAGTGTGCCGGACCGATACGGCTCGATGGGCGCGTACAGCTCGTGCCTCACCCGCACTCGCGCTGCTGCCACGCTCTCTTGTGATTCACGGCAGGGCTTCATTCATACCTGGCCTTTGGGATTGCCGCTCTCTTCCCAGTAGACCGTATGCACGTCAGACACAGCCAGTGTGCCGGACCGATACGGCTCGATGGGCGCGTACAGCTCGTGCCTCACCCGCACTCGCGCTGCTGCCACGCTCTCCCCCATCTCCTCTTCCACCTCCTCGCCCTCCTTTCCCACACCCTCAACCTCTCTCTTTTCCTCTCCCTCCCCCTCCCCCTCTCTCACCCCCTCAACCGGACTGTCCCCCGCTCCGTTGCTCTTCTTTCCCTCCTTCCCCTCTGTATTCCCTTGGCTGCTGAATGCTGAAGCGTGGCCGGCAGCTGCTGGGATGGGCTTGAGAGAGTGAGAATGGGAAGCACCTGAGGCGTGGATAGGGAAACGTACGTACGGAAGGAGAGACGGGATCTGGAATTTGAACAAGTATTGCTCTGTTTCAGAACTGGTGAATGGAAAGCAGTAGTGACATGTGAGTCCACGCGAAAGAATGGGGAGCTTATGAGGCGGAGCATTGGAAAGCGCATGCCATTTGCTGAGTCCAAGAGATGGCATTCGGAAATTACAGTTGAGAGGCAAATGGGAAAACGGATTACAAAAGTCGTTCCATTCCTGACGATCAAGCACGAGTTTATGGTTCAAGCACAAATTCACGTTTGAGTGATTTGAAAATATATTAAATTACTCGGACTTTACGTTAACCATCAATTTTACTTGATACTTGGCCAGCGAAGACAATATCGCGGGGAGCCTGGTCTCACGGCCTGAAACCGGAGCGAATGACGGCAATACACGTCGGACAAAGGGAGAATTCTATCTGGCAGGACGCGGTCAGGCTGGCAGTCGAAGGAGATTCATAATATTAAGTGTTATTGTGATCGCGTGACGATCTAGTCAAGGTAGCTTGAGCGGACTCGAACGTCCCCTCATTACAGGGTCACACGACAGATTATGTTCACACGGGCGGGTGTCGAATGCTTCACGACATAGTCGCACCTGCTCCGTTGCAAACTGAAGATCGCTGAAGCGGCAGCTTCGAGAGACAGCCGCTCTGGTTCTCAGAAAGGTATCTGAGCGAAAGGCTATTGCTGGCGGCCGAAGAAGTCTTTAGAACGGATTGGAGGGACCTTTTGCCGAGTGCAAACGAGAGCCTGACAGCTGCGGGGATCTGAAGAGACGCAGCGGCAATGGCGGCCATCAATGGTAAAGGGGGCCAACAATTGAATGCTACGGCATGCGATTAGATGGAAATAGCTGAGGTTAGGCCAATTAGATGGCATTCAATGAGATGGGATCATGGAAAGCAATGCGGCTGTTTCAGTAGAGGCTTGGCAATGAAGGTGGCACTGTTTGTGGAAGGTGAAAGGATGATATCGAGAATAGCCAAGCCACAGTCGGTGGGGAAGGGATGAATTTCTTCAAATGAAAATGGCCAATGCTCGCTGTACACTTCTGCAGTGCATATAGATTTACATGTTGCCTACATTTTACATTTTTACACGTTTTCCACAGTCAGCTATGACACTGAATTCAGTAAGAAATTCAGCACAACAACTTCATTTCATGTACACAAGCATAACAAAACACCAGACAGAGGGGCATAATACCCGTGATTACATTGACCACAATTATTATTTATGTTTTGCCCTTCACACGTTCGGGGGCGGCCAGATCTTCTTGAAGTGCTTGTCAACCTTCTCCGCCTGAGACACAGCAGAATCAATCTCAGCCTGCAGCAACTGCCTGGCACAGGGCCCGATATTGGCCATGAACCTCGCCATATCCCAAGGCTTGACCTGCAATAAAGTATGGAGTAGCATGAGTTCATTAAAAAACAAATGGTAGAAAACACACTTGAAGGATTGGAGTAGCATGGGAAACAAGTGCATGAGAGTACGGGACATGGCACACTCACCAAAGCGCACACACAGACGACCAGCCATTGAGCTCCTACCTTGTCAGCTGCTGAACTGAGTGCTGCAGGTTTGAGGTCAGGGGAGGCGGGAGTGTCTTTCAGAGCCTCCATCACCTTGAGTGGCACCACCAGGTAGTCAGTGCTGCACAATCGATTCGAGTAGGGAAAAGAAAGCACTGTAAGGTACGGTAGTGCGCACATAATAGGCAGGAGTGTCTTTCGAAGCCTCCGTCACCTTGAGGGGTACCACCAGGTAATCAGTGCTGTGCTGTGCTGTGCTGTGCTGTGTGTGTGTGTGTCTTGCTGCGGATGTTGGATGCCATAACCTTGGTGGGGAAGCCGTTATACATGCCATGCTATGGTCAGTACACGTCGTTAGAGTGTATACGTGTCTATCTGTGAGACAAAGACATTACCCGAGCAGGCTGAGGGTGACCTGCTTGATGCGGATGTTGGATGCCGGGTGGCATGTGCCGGGTGCCGGTATGTGTGCGCAAGTGCACGGCCGCTTGTGTGTTTGTGTGTGTGTGTGTGGGTGGGTGTGTGGGTGTGTGGTTGTGTGTGTGTGTGTGTGTGTGTGTGCGAGTCAAGGCATACCCATGGAGGCTGAGTGCGTCCTCCTTGCTGCGGATGTTGGATGCCATGACCTTGGTGGGGAAGTTGTTGCGGGCAATAAACGCACACGCTCGGCGCACCTGGTGGGGGATGCGAGAAGATGAGAAAAGACGAGAGAAGACGAGAGAAGACGAGAGAAGACGAGAGAAGACGAGAGAAGACGAGAGAAGACGAGAGAAGACGAGAGAAGACGAGAGAAGACGAGAGAAGACGAGAGAAGATGAGAGAAGATGAGAGAAGATGAGAGAAGATGAGAGAAGATGAGCGAAGATGAGAGAAGATGAGAGAAGATGAGAGAAGATGAGAGAAGATGAGAGAAGATGAGAGAAGATGAGCGAAGATGAGAGAAGATGAGAGAAGATGAGAGAAGATGAGAGAAGATGAGAGAAGATGAGAGAAGATGAGAGAAGATGAGAGAAGATGAGAGAAGATGAGCCAAGATGGGCAAGGGTGAGCATGACAGTGATTGGGCCCAATTATTGAGGCGAAACCACAACTCCGATCCCCCACCAGCAAATTCATCGCCCAAGGTTGGGATTGGAGCATGCCCGCCTTAACAGGCTGACACCAGGGTCCTCGCCATTGGCTGCTGCAGCTTCCACTTCCTTGTCCGATGGAAGTACTAGAGAGCAGAGGCGACACATGATGAGCGAGCACATAACGAGGCGCTATGCTATCGGCAAGAGCGTGAGCGCCTTACCAGGCTGACACCAGGGTCCTCGCCCTTGGCTGCTGCAGCTTCCACTTCCTTGTCGCCTGAATGCGTGCGTGCCCAGTCCTGGCAGGGGGAGGAAGGAGTGTTGAGCGACAGAACTGAGAATGGCGAGATTTTTGACAACACCCATTTTCACAGAAGAACGCCTATAATCTCGGTTCAGGCTATCTGCACAGGAAGCGAAGGGAAGCATGATATGTCACGGAAGATCACGATAGGTCATGATACATTCTGCACGTGTGTGCATCGTACCTTGATACGGCCGACGGGGATTTGAATGACTGCCACGTTGGCCTGCGCACATGCTGACACCTGGGCGAAGCTGGAGAAATGGCAAGGGGGGAGCAGAGGAGGTTTGTTTAGATTTACTTATAAGACCGAGATGAGACGAGAGGAACGAGAGGGAACCGAAGCTGAAAAGACGAAATGGCGCTTCCACCCACCCCCCCCTCTTTATGCCCTCTGCTTCCATCTGCATGGCCGGTTTCCTAGCATGTCTTTACTCTCGGTTTTCCCCACCCCTCCCTCCTCAATCGCCCCTCACCTGGCGACGCCAGTGACGTGCGTCTTGATGCCCTCTGCTTCCAGATGCCTCGCCGCCTCAATCCCCTCCCACGTGGCGGGCAGCTTGAACAGCACTCGGTTCACACCCACGTCCACCTCCTTGTACAGGTCTGCCAGGTTGCGCACCTGGTAACCAGGGGGGGTTGGGACGAGGGACGGAGGAAGTGAGGTGGAGTCTACCCAGCACTCAACTGCCTCGATGCCCTTCCAGGCAGTGCGTAGCTTGAACAGCACTCGGTTCACACCCACGTCCACCTCCTTGTACAGCTCTGCCAGGTTGCGCACCTGGGGGGGGGGGAAGAGAGTAGGAGATAATGACATCGGACGGGATTCTAAGCGGTTCAGGGGAGTCTAAAGACGACAGCACTCGGTTCACACCTACGTCCACGTCCTTGTACAGCTCTGCGAGGTTGCGCACCTGGTTTATGCGGAAATGGATAGGGAGAAAGACGAAATTGGAAGAAATTCCGAGCAGTTCAGGGGAGCCTAATGGGACAGCACCCGGTTCACCAGTACGTCTACCTCCTTGCACAGCAGACGACATCGGACGGGATTCTAAGCAGTTCAGAGGAGTCTAAAGACGACAGCACTCGGTTCACCGGCACGTCTACCTCCTTGTAGAGCTCTGTGAGGTTACGCACCTGGTTACAAGGAAGGAGGAGGGAAGGAAAGGGGGGTAATTTGGCGCCAAATTAGTCCACCCCGGCTGACGGACGCCCGGAGTCTGGGCGCAAAAGAATCCTTACGCAGGCAGCACTCACAAGGTAACACACCCTCATGCACTCAGAAGATCACAGGCCGGGGTGTATGCTCACCCTGTCGACCATGGCGGCCGTGTTGTGCGCCAATCTGGGGTCCACCTCGGTGGACACACGCCCGGACACCAACACGTGGCTCACTTGAGCATGCCAGTGCCAGCACTGCCATGCGCGTCTCACTCACCCGGTCGACCATGGCGGCCGTGTTGTGCGCCAGCCGGGGGTCCACCTCGGTCTACACATGCCCAGAAACCTCGAGGCTCCCTTGAGCATGCCAGTTCCAGCACTGCCATGTGCCTCTCACTCACCCTGTCAACCATGGCGGCCGTGTTGTGCGCCAGCCTAGGATCCACCTCGGTGGACACACGCCCGGACACCTCCAGGCTCAGCTCCCTCCCCACGTTCACCAGCGCCTGCACGCATACGTACACCATATACGCGTTTTAGTCATTGCAAGAAACAAAGTACATATGTGAAGTTTCTTGGAGCAGTGGTTCTACCTTTTCCAGATTGACCAAGTTTTGACGTTGGAAAACTCAAGAGTCGTTCATTGTATAACCTTGTCATGATCAGCTGACATCAGCTGACATCAAGGCAGTGATGCACACTTCGAGGTTAGGATTCACGCTAGCCAATAATGGCATAATCTCAGTAGCGATTCCCCATGGTAGCGAGGCTTTTCCCCCATAGCGAGGCTGACCTTATCGAGGAAGCAGGAGAACTTGTTTTCCTCCGCGGCTATCATGCACTTGCCGTACGCCAACGCGCTCTTGATCGCTCCCTGCACGCGCGCGCGGGAGTAAGGGGGACCGTCGGTAAGGACGGTCAGCAGTTGCTTGACAGGACGGCCAGAGACAGATCGTAATGGCAGATATACAGTTGGCGGATAGTGAGCACAAGCTAGTATATGTTCCAAATAGAATCACACTTTCATAAATGCACATCAGGAAAGAAAGGCAATCCCAATCAAGCACAATCGCAAACGAACACACCCTAATACGAGCACGCGCACACTCACGTCGAACTTAGCTTCCCCCAAGGACGAAACTCCGAGGATGAGAGACGACGACACGGTCGCCGCAGTGGGTTTGAAGCTGAAAAGGTTGTTTACAACGACATCATTGCAACAAAACGGCAAAGGGTTACACATTGTGAAGGTATAAAACAGAAGGTGAACGTAAAATACTGCAGATTGACTTGGCAACATTGTTTCACCTCTCAAATTGGCCGCCGACGATTGAATCGGGAACAATCTCGCTGCTCCTCGAGATCACGTCCAGCTCCGACGGAGACACTGCAATGAAATTTAATAATAACATTAGAGAATTGATGACATTAAGCAAATTTGGGAGACGAACAAAGAGCCACGCTGTAATCTAGGAGGGCTTGCTGCTTTGACGAGAAACGGGTTGAGGAAAGGTATATGCGTTGTAGAATCTTGTCGTCTGGTAATTAAAGTGGATTTGACAGGCCTACCAGCCATAGCGGCATGAATGGAAGCCGAGCATCGTGTCGCGACGCGGGAACTGACATTCTTGGAACAAGAAGCGTACGCGGTAAGAGGCAGCGGCGACGGGATGAACGTCGTCTTTGATGCCAAGACCCCCGAAGGCTTCTGCGGAACGTGAAATTGCGAATAGTAACAATAAGACAACAACAGCAAAGATTGCACAAATGAAGCTTGGTTGAATTTGGAACTGAAATTTGGGATAAGATATTATTATCGTAATCCATTGTGGAGTGTTGACCTGGAAAGTTGACGGGTTGAGCCTGATGCCGCACGACACGCTGACAGCAGACGCAGAAGCCATGCTTTTCGTCCAAACGCACAAAAACGACGTCCGGTAGCAGTGGCAAGAGGAGGAAAGCTGTCAGGAGACAGCGTTAGGAGGCAGAAATTGTCGAAGTAGGAGCTGCTCGTCTTTTTACAGATGCTCCATAAAATACTGAATTTCACGATTGGGTTAGGTGCTTGGAACTAAATAGGAATGGCTGGGGGCTGAAATTCAAGTCCTATTCCTTGTTCTTCCGCTCCAATCGACCCGTGCGAGATTCACGATTTCGTGTTTCTTTCGCTTCGGTGAAAGTAGACCAAGAGAATTGCTGCCGGCTTTCGCCTGTTACGAAATTAGCGAGGCGCTCCAGGATATTCGAGGCGTTCGACAACTTCAAGATCTGGGACCACAAAGGTTTCACAACCGTCGATATTGCTGAATGACGTGGTCGATGATGTGCCGATGTGGGAAATTTCGCAGGCACGATTTCTGACGTAGGAAAGCTGCCATCTGACCTGGCAAGCAGCCACCTAGGAATTTGCCCAGATTTATCCGAAGCATAGTCCAGCATGAGTTCTGTATCCAAAGAATGATACAAAACACAAAGGATATATATTGAAGCTAATTTTATTTTAGAGGGTATTTCATTCAGTTCATGAGGGATGCGACTGAACTGTCACAGCCACGCAAGGACTCATCAAACCGTTGCCAGCCGTCAGTTATACAGGCTCGGGATCTGACATCAGATGGCTAGTGGATCGACCTTGGCCCTCGAACCACTCACACAACACCATGACACGGCGGATGATCATCCCTGCTGGCGAGACGCATTTGCAGGAGAATTCCATCCGCTAACGTCGACAGTCTCCGAGCGAACAAACCGGCAGGATGAAAATGAAACGGACTTTAACATTGGCCCTGAACTTGCCGAGGAGATCAACATGACGGCCTTTACCTGTCCGTCCGTCATCGTCTGCGTCAAATTCTTGGGATCCCCTTTATCCCAGAAAGCCAGCCAGTGCTGCTGCAGTGACACTTGACTTGGAACCACGCACAAGCCGTTTCCCGAATGCACAGTGTGGCTACGGTTCAGTCAGTTTTGCAGGAATCTAAAGCCAATCATCATAATACGTTTTTAAACGGTTGGGTAGGGTGACTCTCTTCCATCACTGCAATCTGCTGTGCTTGGAGGATAAGTGATCCTGCTGAAACCTCCACCATCCAACCAAGCTCTGCACAGAAACCGAAGGCCTGCCTCAGCTGGTCATCTTCAGTCGGAATAAGTTCCTCCTGACCAGCAGCAGCCTACGATCTCGGCTAAGGTCATCGGTGCTAAGAGAGCCTGATCGCAGCTGCAGCATCATCTTCCGACAACCTCCACCACCAATATAATCACAATGGCGACCATCGCAGCTGGAACAGGTACACTACACACAAACCTCGCAGTATGTGCATCAATAATACTTCCGTTCCAAGTTTCGCTTATGTGTTCAAGACAAACGCTAAAGTCCGCCTTGGGTAGAGCAGCCCACCAACGCGTAGAAGCTTACATTTGCGTTCTGTCGTGGTGTGATTCCATTCTCGTCCAGCTCTCGCAAGCACTCTCACAGCGCATTTCCCGGTTTTGAAAACACCCCTTGTTCTTTCAATCGTACCATTCCGTTTGACCATCCGTATCCTATCTCTCCAGTTCCCACTCTCCTTCATCCTGCCCCTCTCAGCCGTTCCCACAGCAGCGCTCACTGCCAGCAGAGCAGATTTTTGAGTCGAGCAAAATAACCAATCATCCGTATCCCATCCTTCCGTCTTCGAACACCCCATCATGCTGTCCCTCTCAGCCGTCCCCACAGCAGCGCTCACTGCCGGCAGAGCAGCTTCCGCTGCTTCCGCCTCCACCAGCTTCGCCCGCTCCGTCGTCCCCGCGCCTCTCCCCGCTCCCCTCTCCGCCGCTTCTCGCGCGGGTCGCACCCACCTCCTCCGCTGCCGCGCTGCTGCTGTCGAGGACGGTAAGCGCACGTACAACCGCTCGACCGCATTCACAACCGCTCGACCGCATAAACAACCACTCGACCGCATCAACAACCCCTCGATCGCATTCACAACCTCTCAAGCGCATTCAAACCGATGGGAATCGACCGTTTGACCCGCCGCTCTTCGCTCTTCATTTTGCCAGTACTACATTGTGACTGTTTGCCTGTATTTTGCAAGGCTGTTTGGTTTTATATATATATATATATATATATATATATTGAAAACAAATAAATAGGTGCGTGTATACAGCCTTCACTCCTGTCTAGCCTCACTTACTGGTTTTTTTGTTTCTGATCTTGATTTACTCAGGAGCCGTGAAGGAGGTGCCAGTTGAGGCTGAGGAGCTGAGCAATGGTGCAGCTGTGGCCGCACCGACAGTGGACGAGGTATGTTCCCTCCCACTCCTCCTTCGGTCGCGTTACTATCCTCTCCTTGTTACCTCGCGTCACTCTCCCTCTCCTCTCCTCATTCCGCCACGACACTCTCGTTTCTTGACTTCTTTCCCGTCGTGTCTCCGTCGTTCCTCCGCACCATTCCATTCTCCTTGCCTGTCTCCTCGCGTTAGTCCCCCTCTCTCCCCTTCCGTTGCATCGCATTCGCATTGCATACCGTCGCATCCACTTCTCTCTTCACCCCGATCGCGTCTATCCCCGTGAGGTGCTGCGCAGTCGCTGCTGATGGAGCTGTGCAAGGAGACTCGGTGCCTGCAACGAGACTCACTCCATCATGTTCATTCCCCCATGCCCATGCCCCATGGCCTGCCCTTCCTCCCGCAGGAGCAGTCGCTGCTGATGTAGCTATGCAAGAAGACTCGGTGCGTGCAACGAGACTCATTCCATCATGTTTATTCCCCCGTGCCCATGCCCCATGGCCTGCCCTTTCGCCCGCAGGTGCAGTCGCTGCTGATGGAACTTTGCGACGAGACTCACATCGCCGAGCTTAAGGTCAAGGTACGGTACCACCGAAGCAAGCGCTCAGGTACAGTACCACCGAAGCAAGCTCTCAGGTACGGTACCACCGAAGCAAGCTCTTGAGGTAGGGAAGGACCGACAAACACTCAGGGAAGCGAAAACCGAAGCAAATAGTCAGATACGGGAGAACCGAAGCAAGCACATGAGTTAGGGGACAACGTCGCAGTCACCCAGGTATGGGAGTACAGGGACAGAAAGTCAAGGTACGGAAATGAGAGGATTCGCTGGCAACACTTCGCACTCACTTTCTTGTATGATAGAAATGGCTTGACGCTTCCCCCTGCACGCCCTACTTGATGTGAAGAGGGACGGCGTTGCACGTCAAGAGGGAAGTGGACGGCAGCACCGGGAATGCCGTGGCAGCAGCTGTTCTCGCAGTAACCCCCTTGACTCCCCTCCCTCTCCTCCCACTCACACGACTGGCAAGTCGGCTCCTTCTCCCTGCACGTTAAGAGGGACGTGGACCGCAGCATCGGGAATGCCGTGGCTGCAGTTGCAGCTGTTCTCGCAATCCATCGCTTGACTCCCCTCCCTCTCCTCCTCTATCCCCGAACCCACACCTCAGGTCGGCGCCTTCTCGCTGCACGTCAAGCGCGACGTGGACGGCAGCATCGGGAATGCTGTGGCTTGCAGTTCTCGCAGTACCCCCTTTGACTCCCCTCCCCCTCCTCCACCCACGTGTCAGGTCGGCGCCTTCTCGCTGCACGTCAAGCGCGACGTGGACGGCAGCATCGGGCATGCCGTGGCTGCAGCTGAAGCCTCCGCCGCAGCCGCCGCCGCCCCGGTGGTGTACGCCGCGCCAGTGCCCGCCTTCCCCATGGCGGAGTCCCTCCCCCCCGCCGCTGCCGCGGAGCCCGTGGCGGAGGTTGCTGCGGAGCCAGAGAAGCCCAAGGATGAGGGGCTTGTCTATGTCACGTCGCCGCGGGTAAGAGAGGAATGAACATTTGACTCTGCACTACATGGTGTCATTATCCCAAAACCTCGCTTCTGCTACCTCTGCTGCTGCCCCCGTCGCTGCCGCGGAGCCAGTGGCGGAGGTAGCAGCTGAGCCCGAGAAGCCCAAGGACGAGGGGCTTGTCTACGTCACCTCGTCGCGGTAGCTCCTTTCTGCGAGTGATCCTCTTTCGCCCTCACACCCCACCCACTACCCACCCACCCGTCGCATCCCACTATCCTTCGCGGCACCCTCCCCCCACCCTTCCCCCCACCCACCCTGCTTCTCTTCTACACACCCTCGTCCTCCTTCGCACCCTTCCCTGTACCCGTCCAACCCTCCTTCTCCCCCACTCCGCCCGCCCTTCTCACTACCCCTGTCAGGTGGGCATCATGCGACGTGGCAAGCTGTGCAAGGGCAAGCACGGTTTTTGAGGCGCCTAAAAAATCAATCCCCTTCCTCCCCCACCCTCCCCTCACCCCCCATACCCCGCTCCCCCTGCCAGGTGGGCATCATGCGACGTGGCAAGCTGTACAAGGGCAAGCACGGCCGGCCAATTGTGCTCGAGGTACAGTGCGGTGCAGTGTGGTGGTCAGTTCTTGAGAGTGGTACTCTCCACTCTAGAATGTGGTGTACCTTCTTTTTTCTGTCACTCGTATAGAATGAGGCACGTTGCGCTTGGCATGGCGCGCACACCCTGTCTCGTCCCCACCCACTCCTCTCCTTAATCCCCTCACTCCTTCCCCTCAAACCCCTTCCCCCTGCCGCCACTCCCCTCACTCCGTCCCCTCATTCCACTCCATGGTGTGGTGAAGAAGGGACATTCCATGTGGCCACGTGATAAATCTGTTACTTTGAGACGTCTCAAAATAACACTTTTGTAACAACAGGGAGCTGTGGTGAGGAAGGGACACTCCATGTGCTTCCTGGAACAGCTGCGAGCAATCCTGTATCTTTCCCCCTTACCACGTCCCCTCCCCTCACCCCACCCTTCACCCCTCCCCCCTCTCCCGTCAACAGGGAGCAGTGGTGAAGAAGGGGCAGGCCATGTGCTTCCTGGAGCAGCTCGGCACCAACCTGGCGATCGAGGTACGTGGGAGGGAGGGTGGGCAGGGGGCAGCAAAGGGCTGATCGGCATTGCAGGGGGGAGGGGGAAGGGGGAGTGGTGGGGGGAAGTGGGTACGAACCAACCAGCACTCGGTGTGAAGAAGGGGCAGGCCATGTGCTTCCTGGAGCAGCTCAGCACCAACCTGGCGATCGAGGTGGGTGGGAGCGTGGGATAGGGGCAGCAAAGGGCTGATATGGCATTGCAGAGAGGTGGGGGGTGTTGGGAATAGGAGGGTACAAACCAAGCAGCACTCGGTGTGAAGAAGGGGTAGGCCATGTGCTTCCTGGAACCGACCTGGCGATTGAGGTACGTGGGAGGGTAGGAAAGGGAGAGCGAAGGGTTGATAGGCATTGCAAGGGGGGCAGGGGGGTACTAACCAACCAGCACTGGGAGGGCCAAACTGTTCCTCTTTGTGTGATCACAACATCCCGTCAATTGTGTCATCTCTTCGCTGCTCTTTTCTTGCTGTTCCGTGCCTGTGCATGCTACTTTGTTTCTGTGCAGACGGAGCATGCGGGCACAGTGGTTGATTTCCTGGTGGAGGATGGAGGTGCGTTCCGTGTACTCTCTGCTAATAGTCGATGGGGGGAAAAGGAAAGAAAGAGAGGGGGGTGGGGGTATAGATTGAGTCGACTCAAAGATTGGCTGTACAAATGGAACATGCCCTGGAATAGTGGTTGGGTTATCTGATCGTTTCCCTCCCTTTCCTCCAACCCGATACAGGGTACAGTGATCCCCTAGTTGCCATCTGTCCATCTACGCTTATTGCCTCTCCTCTGTTTTCGCTTTCCCCCTTGTCTCATCATCCCCTTCCCACCTTTCCTCCATCCCCATTCACCCACCATCAGTCCCTGTGGGCTACGGTGAGCCCCTGGCGGCCATTCGCCCGTCTTTCCCCGGCATCATAAAGCTCACCTGAGTGTGGCGTGATACCTTTTAGGACGCCTCGAAAATCAACCCGTCGTTTTCCAACCTCCCTCCTCCATTACCCTCTTCGTCTCATCCCCTTTTCCCCATCTCCCACCAACAGTCCCCGTAGGCTACGGTGAGCCCCTGGCGGCCATTCGCCCGTCTTTCCCCGGCATCATGAAGCTCACCTAAGTGGAGAGCAGAACCACTAAGTTTTGATGCGCACTCCAGAGTGCGCAGTGAACACAAGTCTTACATTATGTTATGCATAAGTATGTGCCTATGAGGACCATGGTTCCCCAGCTGAGCCCGGCATGAGTCTGAGCGATAGCATGCATGCCAGGCTATGCAGTGTGCTGGTGCCATTGTCTTGGGTATTTTTGGTGTTTTTTTCCAGGCCAAAATGGTTGTCGTTCTGGAAGTCATAGTGGCCAGAATCGGTTAATGAGGTGTATTTTTGTAGGACTTTCTCTAGTAGCTGTTCTGTGCTGCTGAGAGCGTATTCCTATCCTCGTATCAAGAGAACCTCATATCAATATTGTACCTTATGCCTGGTAAAACTAGTGGGAGGTTTTGGGTTTAGGGGAATTTTCAGAGGGAGGTTGATATGAAGTTCCCTTGATACGAGGATAGGAATACGCCCTAAGCACAAGCACATGCTTCAGTAAACTAGAGAGTAAACGATACAACATTATAGTCGTCATCAGATACCATACATATAATAATGACAACACGAGACACAAGTTGGCACACTACTCAACACAGCAGGAGCACACTCCACAATGCTACTGTACACTTGCTGTTGCAATAGAATTGAAAAGCTTAGTTCGCATGCCGCGCTAGCGCTTTCTGAGTTTAGGGTTTGGCTTGAGCAACTGCTTGACACCATCCGCAGGGGAAATGTCCCACCGCTCCACATGCCTGGTGGTGGTTGGAAAAGGAAGGGCATGAGGATGCATGCATGGGGTGTTATTTTAGAGGTTTGGCCTGAGCAACCAGGTGACGCCGTCTGCAGGGGGAATGTTCCATATCTTTTTTGAGAATTCTCAAAAAACATACTGCTCCACATGCCGGTGAGAGGTTGAGAGGAGGGCGCATGGGATGGGATCGTGGGATGGAGAGACGGGGAGGAGAATGTTGGGTGAGGAGAAGGAACTGCACATTTGTGACTGCACGCCAAGGAGAATGCAAATCAGCAAGGCAGTTTCCAAGCTGGAAGCACAGAAGTATAAGTATTTCTGTTGTTTCTTGCTTACTTGTATATTTTTCCTGTTGATTCGCTGAAGAAATGGTCTGTCGAACCAGATGCTGTGTAGGGCGGAAGAGGAAGGACCGGGGGGAGGGGAGGTAAAGAGGATAGTGAGCGGATTACAGACGACAGGGATGCGTAGACAGATACACAAGAGCGGCTTGATTTGAAGAGTGCTTCAGGAGGAAGTCATACGGTAAGCACTAGAAAGAGTGTGAAGAGTGTGAAGAGAGTGAATGTGCAACGCCACTCATTGCCACTACGACGGGAAGGAGAGGGCTTACCAGCAAGAATGGGTCGCCATGGCAGGCCCAATACGCAGCTGAATCTCCACTTGGTGGTAACAGTACCCTGCAGTTACATTGACATGAATGAGATTGGGAATGCGATACAAAAAGTGACACTTGAAAGGAATATTGTAATCAGAGGGATCAACGAGAGAGTGTAGTCGGATTTTAGTACCTCTGACTCCTGCCAGTCGAGAATCTTCAAGGAAACTTCCTCCATGAACGACCCGAGGTTGGACACGTTCTGCTTGAAGCGATCTCGGCCGTTGAACGACACAAAGGGGTCAGCGAACTCGCAATCTGGTTCGTACAACCACATGGTCATCTCGCCTGATAGGCAAACACGCGTACATAGGCAAGGGAGGCAGGGGGAGGAGGGGGAGGGAAGGAAGGAGTATAGGGAGTGCTATTGACTTGTGAAATCTCCATCTGCCACGTGTCATCTCACCAATCACCTGTCACGAAGTACGACTTGTCATAGTCTTCTCTCAGTGCTTTAATAGCCGCGTCGCGCTCAACCACCGCCGGCTCCCCTTCCACCGTTGCGCCCTTCCCCTTTCCGCCTTCCGCCTCTCCCCTGCGCACCGCCGCCACAGCCTTCCCGAACGCCTCTGACGCATACCACGCGAAGCGCACCAGCGGGGAGGTTTCCGCCGTGGGCCCCGCGCGCTCCTCGGCCTTCCCCCCTGCGCTTTTCCCCGCGCCTCCCGGTTCCCCTCCGGACGCGCGGATGACGCTCCGCCGCCCGCCTGACACCCTCAGCGTCGCTGTTCCGCCAACATCGGCAGAAAACCCGCCAGAGAATGCGGCCTTGCTAGCTAAAAAAGAGGCTCGGTTCGCCACGCCGTCGACCACGCTGGCTTGCGGTCCTAGTAAGAGAGCTCGCGAGGTGGTTCTAGGAGGTGTGAGATGAATTCGCGAGGAAGATCTTATTGAGTCCATTGGGAATGCTTTGCCAGGGTACGTGGCCGCGAAGCGACTGACGGCGACGCCTGTTGCCGCCATACCGACTGGCTGGGTTGCGAAGATAGACAGTTAGGGATGACGGAGGAAATCGACTGCGAAATTTTGAGCGTGGAAACTAGCGGGAACCACGCGGCATAGCTGACGGAATGAGGGAAAGGAAGGGAGGAGTGGTGCTAGGAGGGGCATTGAGTTACTGACAGTGTACCCAATTCGTGCGAGACACTGTAGTAACGTGCCACGATATTGCATTTTACGGTTCTACAGTTGATGGAAAAGCCAGGGATACAAGAATCTCGTTATTATTACTAAAACATTGTACAGCAATACCACCGAATGCGTCACGTGCCCAAAGCACAGAAAATGGCTAGATTATCAGGGTGATCTTTCATGGTCTAGTGCGGTAAGACAGCTGAGCTCCACCTTTCACCATTTCGTAGAATCAACTCATTGATACACCACTCTGCGTCTCAGCCGCGACCGCAGCTCAGCATTCTCCTGCAAAATGAAGGAACAGATCCAACTTATCCATCGGCAGTAATCCTCGTATTGCAATCAACCCTCAGTAACCAATTCTGATCACATACAAAAAGACATGTACCAGTACACTTGTATCACATGTAGAATTACCCACCTTTGTTAGAGCCGCAATCGTAGCCTCCAATGCCTCGTTCTCCGTAATAAGTGCTGCTTCTCTCCCTTCCAACCCCTGCGAGTGTGAAGGATGTAAGAATTATTAGCTACCACCATTTACCACACACCACAAGATAAGTCAAAGCCCAACATGCACCATGTTTAAATGAAACAATGAGAACCAGAAAGAAGATTGCTAACTCATCGCTAAGGCATGGCAGGTTTGAACGACATCAACCAAGTGCTTACGTTAATGTAGTACTTCTTCTTCTCTCTAGCTTGTTGAGCACTGACTCTGTTGCGAAGCAACCTGTAACATCGCACGGTCACATCCCCCAACCATATCCACAGGCACGCAGCAAGGAAACCCTAAAAGTTAGTTGCTTGTTTCCGAATACGCCACCAGATTGGAAGGGCGACCTTAGGAATCAGGAACGAGGTAGACGTTCTTACGTTCGAAGAATGCGAAGAGGAAGTAGAGAACAAGCGGTGGGTAAGTTATCGACTAAACACTCAAAAGCTACGGCCAGCATTCCAGACGCTCATAATAAGCTGTCAACCCTGTCGGGTAATAAGCTTCATAATGTTTTGGGTTGACTAGAGGAAACACACACACGCACCTCCTTCGCTTCGGATCGACTGTCGGGGGAATACTCGCAGCAGCAGAAGGCACGGCGGAAGGCACAGCGGAAGGAACGGCGAGGGATGAAACCGCAGCAGGGATACGCGGAACAGGCGGGAATAAGACTGCGGAAGTCGCATCGTCGCGGTTTCCGGGTAGCGAAGAATGAATAGCGTAACCGCATGGGCCGTCGAGGTCGGGAGCGAGGGAGAGTGACGGACGGCCGGGCGCAGCTGGAAATGCAGGAGCGGTTTCCAAGGAAGCGGCAGGTCGTATCGGCACGGACGGTGACGACGGAACGAGCAGGTCAGCAGGAGACGCGGCGCGATCAGCGCGCGACGGGACGACAGCGCACGGCTCGTTCGCCGCGACAGCGGCGGCGAAATCGGGAAGATCCTCGAATTCCAAACTTCCGCCGAGCGTGTTCGGGTCCGCAATAATGTCTCCTCCCTTTCTCTTCCCCGTCGCCTTCGCGTGTGCTCCACCTGGCGACTTCAAGGTTCGTCCTGCGACCGATTGCGAGCTTCGCCCACCGATTGATTGCGCGCCGATTCTCCCAGCGAGCGCCTCTCTTGTCGCCGCCACTCGCGCTTGCCTCGCCATCGCTGCGGCTTCCGCGTGCCGCTGCTTGTAGAGATGATGACTGTAGAGAGGATTATGAGATGGATGATGTTGGTAGTACGCCGCGTGATACGGGCTCGCCATTGGAGGATAGTTCGCCGCCGGGTGCGGGTAGTATTCCGAGTAGTACGCGCCATCGTGCGTCACGTGCGGCGCGTGATCAGAGATCGCAGCCGGTTCCAGAGATAACTGCAAGTCAGAATTTCGCACATCGGTAGTCGCAACCGTCGCGGAGTCTCGCTTTGGTTTGAGCTCAAGATCAGGGAATCCCCAGGAAAGCTCGTCGAACAAAGGATCGCCGCCGCTGCCGCCGCCGCTACCGCTGCCGAGCCCCGCGTTATCGCCTCCCGCCGGCTCATCAGCACAGTCTATCTCGACCTCTACCGGGCTGTCGTTGAAAAAAGGCGTGGGGATGTGACCCATACTGTCGCGATCGGATCGGCCCGTGCGACGGAATCTCTTCGTGGGCGCAGATGCCGCGGCGGCATGGCGAGGGGGGTGGCGAGCGGTCGGCGGAAGGGGGAAGGCGTAGCCTGGATGCGCCGCTGCGTGCGCGGACGCGTGCGGAGGCATGTGCGGCGGAAGATGCATGTGCATGGGCCCGCCGTACATGGGGGGAAACGGCGCGCCAAAGTGATACGACGCCTGGCCGCCATAGTCTGCGGAGGAGAAAGGAAAGAAAGAAAGGACGGAAGAATGAAAGACAGAAAGTGAGCAAGAAAAACGACATTTTAGGTACGAGGCAAGCAGAATACGATGATCACGTCGCGGTGGATCACATGCGAAGATCGCATGACGTAGTCAAGGTCGCACAGAGCGTGACGCTAACGGAAGATCAAACTCTCTTGGATGCAACATACTTCAAGAGAAATAGTAACATGATAAATAGGTGGGGATTCGATTTAGGAACACGCACTTGCGAAAGGATAGTGTCCCGTTAGATACGAAGGGATCCCCTGAGTCATGCCGGGGAAGGCGGCTTCGGACGATGACTCGCACACGCTCATGTCGCGGATGTCCTCTCCTTGGGACGGTTTGAGTGGGAGTGGAATGGTAGGAGTTAATGGAGTTTAGACACGACGATTGCCCGTACTATCTATAGCGCGGGTGAGAAGTTTGGCGGGTGATGAGCGCTAGAACGAAGAGACGGATGTGCTTCAGGGTTAGTAATCCAGTCTCTCGTACGATGCACGAATCAAACCCAACAACGGTCAAAACTGTGAAACAGTAGGGGAGGAAGAGGAACGGAATGTGTGAATGGGTGGGACAAGTGCGGCGGGGTTCGCGCCAGCAAAAATCTCTCCTCGTCAATCCTCACAACCGTGCATGCCTGCCATTCGCCCCAAGCAGTCTCTGCCTCCATCCCATCCCACCAATCTGCGGTGTTACATGACCACCCTTGCCTCCTCCCTTCCCTTCCCCACCCCGCTTTCCCCATCTCTCCCCTCCCGCCTCCTCTCATCCACCAGTCACACCAAGCCTCACGGCGTGTGCAAAGTTCTGCATGTAGCCCGACGTCGAGCTACGTCGAGGTTGTTGGGCAAGGTAGGTGAGCTGAGGGGTGCCATTTCTGTGTTCAAAGTACGCTTCAAAAATTGCTGACGCCAGCATCGCCATTTGTACGGAAATGAGCAATGATGATAGGCACAGAAACGGTCAACCAAAGAAAATTGAGCGAATCTTTACAGTGTTTGCCAGACCACGTAAGACAAATTCACAGATTGGCATGAATCGTAATCTCGACCATTGCGAACATTTTCATTCCGCGGTGAGACTTTCGCAGCCAATAGACGCACTCGAAAAAAACATTTGCGATTTCAGGTTCTGGTCCCAATTCAGTTCTTCGACAGTATCAATTCAAATGTTACTATTAATGCCGGCATTTGTCTTGAGTGGACAGTTCGTCGCCGGCAATGTGTTCAAAGTGCCGCATTCGACGTCAATCGACGTCAGAAGCTCGACGTCGCTCGACGTCGGTCTCCGACGTCAAAACTATGTCCTAGCTACGTCGAAATACTTCGCACATGCCATCAGCTCACCTGCCTCCTCCCCATCTCCCCCTTTCGTCATTGATCACCGCCCACCCGCACCACCTATGGGCCAGGCTCACAAAGGGTCCCCCTCCACCACCACTCCACACCACACCCCCGAGTGACCAAGGGAGCCCACCAAATGAAACCTTCGTACACCCTGTTTCGCGCTAGCAGAGCATCTGGTTGCAGAACATGCACAGGTTGTAGAACGTCACCACGTTTGAAATGGTCTTATCACCGACGGTACAAGCACATTCACAAGAAAGCGGTTAGCTAGGATGCTGCATGGTAAAGAACATTAACCAAGCGTTTCAAAGCGGTTGAAAAGGGTATACAGCGATAAAGAAAAATTTTGCCCCCAGTACCACTCCGTCAGCTGGTGCGGCTTTGCCCGCAGGTTTCAGCCATACGGTTTATGGCACCTGACCGCACTGTAGCAGCGAATCGCGCAAGGTGAGAGGGTCGAGAAACAGGGTGTACAGTATGAATGGGCCTGTGGTGCACAGTGGATGCATTTCCAGAACGACTGTGTGCAGCAGATCCCACATCCAAACGTCAAATCTGTCTGGAGCAAGCAGGGTAAAAACCTACGAAACAGATGTAAATTCGGACGTCCATTCCAGCCATATCCTCGGGTGAACACAATCGTACCTTGGTTGCTGGTGCATTCACTCTGCAAGCTGACAATTCTGCGTTGCCTAAAGCTGGAAAAACTTCCACTAAAAGGCGAAGCGAAGTAGTTCATTCACTGGCGTTTTTGCCAAGTCAACCACTTTGACTGGAAGGATAGCACACAAAACCGATGTTTTAAAGGAACGAAGGGTTTCGGAAGTCCCGTTTACAAGGGTGTACGGTCCATCCACCAGGGAGATTCGTTAACGAGAGCCAACAAATCCGTGGCGCATAATGCCAGATCTTACAGCCAGCTTGCGACTCTGTGCACAGCACGGCGTATCCTCTACTGAAATCAGTTGTCATTTTCTGAAGGGCTTGAGTGGACAAGATTCGTCCACGGCGCGTCACCAGTCACCGATCGACATTTGGCAACGATTTGGGAGTAAGCTGTAAATTGCAGCTGATAATTGGAAACTACATAAATGCAGGCTTCACACCTCCTCTACAGCCTACAAGGATATCGCTGACCAGGCCCAAGTACGAGAGTGGTATAAAGACGATTTGAAGCTGTTGTCAGCTTGAAGTAAAATGCTTAAGTTTGGCACTTCTGTTCTGTCATTTAAAGAGAGAAAGCACCTTCTTGTACTTGCTGAATTTCCCGCAAAATACGGTATCACTTGAGTATGTAGAGGCCCCTTGCTAACAGCAGGAGCAACACGAGCTATGCCTTGCAAGTGCCCCGCCTTCACATCATAGATTTCTGTCTTTGAGCAGCAGACTCCAAATACAAGGATACACCTGGCAGCCTTGCATCATCATTCGAATCCCCTCTTCTCTTCCTAATCAACTGCAAGTGCAAAAAGGGCGAACGTGTGAACTTAAAGGTGGAATGCAAGCGGTACAATACGACCCATGTGTGAGAAATAAACGAGCTCATAATCAAGAATTACAGTAGAGATCAAATGCATCCGCACCTTGGAAGCCCAATGCCGCTCTGTTTGCTCACAAACATCGCGTATATCTCTCCCAGACATGCTGCAAGAACTCAAAGAAAAGCAGGGAGGAGGGTGGGAAAAAAGCTGAAAGTAATCCTACAAAATTCAGCAACAGCAGATGACTTATAAACTGCCAGCACATTTGTCATTGCAGGTACTTCAAAATACACAGCAAAATGCCGACAGGTAGTAAGGAAACACTGACTGCCTCATTCCTTTGCCGGAATTTCTCCCACCTCTGCTCTGAAATGACTACGATGGCGCATAAAAAAACAAAATGTTCTCATTATCATGTGCCCGTGCAAGGACCTCTGGTGTGCAATGGAGGGTGTGTAAAGCAATGAGGCGAGGTGGCCCAAAGAAAAAACCTTACACTTGTTGCATGCTCGTGCAAGTCATACTGAGCAACGATACGTGCACGGCTGTGAGCATTTAGAAATATATTATGGAAAGTGCCAAAACAAACAAAGAACTCATGCACTCACTTGTCGCATGCCCATGCAAGAGTTTCTCTATTCTCCGGAGTGAGGTGGCGTGCGTATTGAGCGATGATCAGCGCCCGGATGTGAGCATGGGTGCAGAGATAAAGAAGATCAGTGCACTCACTTGTCGCATGCCCATGCAAGAGTTTCTCTATTCTCCGGAGTGAGGTGGCGTGCGTATTGAGCGATGATCAGCGCCCGAATGTGAGCATGGGTGCAGAGATAAAGAAGATCAGTGCACTCACTTGTCGCATGCCATTGCAAGAGTTTCTCTATCCTCCGGTGTGAGGTGGCGCGCGTATTGAGCGATGATCAGCGCACGGGTGTGTGCATCCGGGAGGGAGAATGTAATGGCTGCATCAAAACGACTACCACACATGGGTGGGGCATAAGGGAGGCATGAAGCGGAAATAGATTATGGCAGACACACATGCGATGAGGGCGTGAAGGGGTAAAATCTGTGATGAGGGCGTGTGTGAGTGTGTGCATCCGGGGGGGAGAATGTAATGGCTGCATTAAAACGACAGACACACATGCGTGTGGGGGAAAAAGTGAGGCACCGTTGAGTCATAAGGGAGGCATGGCATGTAAGTGGCGATACAAAATAACGGGGCAGTGGAACTATGATGAGAGCGTGAGAGCATAAGAGCCTGCGTCCCGGAGGAAGCTTCAAAGAGACGTGGAACGACCGATTAGAGCCGCGAGAAAGTTTATGTATGTGTATATATATATATATAAATGTATATTTTACATGTGAGGCGCCTTTAGGTTCCTCATCTTGTTTTCAAGGTGCGGCGCCTAATTAGTCATGCAACGTGAAAAGAATGACCACCTGATGAGAGCCGGATCCAGGTCCTCCTTTCTGTTAGTTGCAGCTATGACCACAATGCCCCGGTCCCGCTCAAACCCATCCATCTGCACACAGCAAGGGAGTCGGTGGGGAGGCAAGACAAGGTTGGTAGGCAGGCAATGTGAAGGGTAGTACCAAATGCCCCGATCCCGCTCAAACCATCCATCTGCACGCAGCAAGGGGAATGGAGCAAGGGGTGTGCAGCAGCTGAGAGATAATACACATCGTCCTCAGCAGCACAAAGAAGTCATGTTGCTGTGATTTCCCCCTTTCAATCCCATGTCTCCCTCGAATTGCAGAACGGGAGGGAAAGGGAACGGCAGATGCGCAAGAGGGCAATGACGGTGGTGTCTATGTGAAAAACCTCACCAATCAACCGGTCAAATTCTTTGCTGACGTCATGAAGCTTATCCAAGACGTGGATTGACACGCATCTGTTAAAAAAAGGTAGCGTGCCAACCCACGTCTTGGATAAGCTTCATGACGCCAGCAGAAGCAATTGACCGGCTGATCGGTGAGGTCTTCACATACACACCACCGTCAGTGCCCTCTTGCGCACATGCCTTTCCCTTTCCCTCCCATTCTGCAATCTGAGAAAGAAATGGAAAGGAGACACGGGAGGGAAGGGGAAAGGACAGGCAGGTGTGCAAGACACGAAAAGTTGCTAGGCAAAACAAAACAAACGTCATAAGCAGACACACGCAAAGGAAAGGCGCCAGGAGATGTACAGGAAAGTGAGAAGAAACCAAGTGACACTTCATTTTGTTGCTTCGACCGGTAACTTTGAAATACAGCTGGAGGAAGTGATTACGATACAATCAGAGGCTTCAAGGAGAGCAGCTAGTAGAGCACAGCGAAGCAACTTCTCGAATGTGAAGAAACCTTTCCTCCAAAACACTCGAATGTGTACCCCTGCGTTATATACGATGCGAAACATTTGAGATCACCCCTGGAAAACCGCATATGTGACTTGAGTCACCCCAAGAAGCACAGCTCCCTGAGCAGCACTGAGAGGACCCGCCGCGTCGCTTCATGCAAGTCGCTGCGCGTGTTTTTTGAGAATTCTAAAAAAATCCGCCGCGTGGCTTCATGCATGTCGCTGTCCCTCGCTGTTGCCAGTGGTGTCATGGATGGCACTTGGAATCACCAAGTCATTTGAAACCACCCATGTGACTTAAGCTGCCCCGAGAAACACACCTCTCTGAGCAGCACTGAGAGGACTCGCCGCGTCGCTTCATGCATGTCACTGTCCCTCGCTGTTGCCAGTGCATCCACCTGCCACGTGCATGATCAAGTGATAAAGTAATGTAATGGGATAGAGTCGGGGTTGGAATGAGGCACATTATTGCATGTGTGGCTGGCTTCATGCATGTCGTTGTCTCTCGCTGTTGCCAGAGCATCCACCTGCCACGTGCATGATCAAGTGATGAAGTCATGCAGTGTCGAGGTTTGGTTGAGGATGCCACCAGGGACAACGAACGATCCAATCGAGCGTAACATGCAGCACAGCCATTGTCTGAGCCCGGACCGTGCAGGCAAGTGCTGCGCTGCCCATTACACTCAATTGGATCGTTGCCCCTGGTGGCATCGTCAGAGTGAGTTGAATAGTCCCGGTCACCATGTCATCCACCCCATCTCCACCAGGCAGATGCCGTAACCTCTTCGATTGGCTCTCCTCTCCGTGGCAGCACCTGCGTATCCATCCCTGGTGACTTTTGAGTCGACTCAAAAGTCATTAGCTCTCCTCTCCCGTGGCAACACCTGCGTATCCATCCCTGGTGACTTTTGAGTCGACTCAAAAGTCATTAGCTCTCCTCTCCCGTGGCAACACCTGCGTATCCATCCCTGGTGACTTTTGAGTCGACTCAAAAGTCATTAGCTCTCCTCTCCCGTGGCAACACCTGCGTATCCATCCCTGGTGACTTTTGAGTCGACTCAAAAGTCATTAGCTCTCCTCTCCCGTGGCAACACCTGCGTATCCATCCCTGGTGACTTTTGAGTCGACTCAAAAGTCATTAGCTCTCCTCTCCCGTGGCAACACCTGCGTATCCATCCCTGGTGACTTTTGAGTCGACTCAAAAGTCATTAGCTCTCCTCTCCCGTGGCAACACCTGCGTATCCATCCCTGGTGACTTTTGAGTCGACTCAAAAGTCATTAGCTCTCCTCTCCCGTGGCAACACCTGCGTATCCATCCCTGGTGACTTTTGAGTCGACTCAAAAGTCATTAGCTCTCCTCTCCCGTGGCAACACCTGCGTATCCATCCCTGGGCTTGCCTGCATTTTCTCCTTCCTTCACCTCCCCTTCCGCCTCCTCCTCCTCTGCTGCCCCCTCTCCTTCATCGAGTGATATGATTAGCCAACCTTTCTTATCAGCCACCTTTTCTCTCCTCTTCTGCACTTCCCCCAATCAACACCCCCCCCCCCCCAAAAAACTTACCCACCTCATCGAGGAACACGATGGCGCCACCTGGGTGCAGCTGATTGGCCAGCGCAAACACGGTCGACAGCTGGCGCTCACTCTCACCATAGTACTTGGATGCTACAGACTCAAGCGGCACGTACACCAGCGGCACGCTCTGAAGTGAGATGGGGGAGGAAGGGACAGTGGGTGCCAGAATTCCCATCATAGCACTTGATAAGGTGCCTGACACTCGCTCCCCCCGTAGTACTTGGATGCCACGGACTCAAGCGGCATGTACACGAGGGGTACGCTCCGAAGGGAGAAATGGGAGAAGGATTGTGAGTAATGTAAGCATGCGCACACACGGCCAACAGCTGGCGCTCGCTCTCCCCATAACTCTTGGATGCTACAGATTCCAGCGGCGTGTACACCAGGGGCACGCCCGCCCTGATGAGGGTGAGGTGGGGGGAAGGACAAACCAGTTTTAATAGCACGTGCTTGTTCTACCCATAGTACTAGGATGCTAGCTTTTATGACACCGGCGCAGGGCAGGCCATGGTGTGGCACGGCTGGCATAGATCAGCAGACAGCATGGCAGATGGCATGGCATGGCTTAACAGAGAGCATGGGATGGCATGGCAGAATATGGCAGATGGCATGGCATGGCTTAACAGAGAGCATGGGATGGCATGGCAGATGGCATGGCATGGCATGGCATGGCACTCACTCACCGCTCGTTTGGCCATGGCTCTTGCACATGACGTCTTCCCAGTGCCTGATGGGGGCGATGGGCGAGAGAGGAATGGATGGAAGAAAGAAGTATGACATTTAATTCGACTCAAAAGTCACCACGTTTGGTCATGGCTCTTGCACATGACGTCTTCCCAGTGCCTGATGGGGGCGATGGGCGAGAGAGGAATGGATGGAAGAAAGAAGTATGACATTTAATTCGACTCAAAAGTCACCACGTTTGGTCATGGCTCTTGCACATGACGTCTTCCCAGTGCCTGATGGGGATGAAGGTTGAGAGGAACGGATAGAAGGGCGAAGGGGACGCATAGATGAAAACAAAGATGGCTTTTGAGTAGATTCCAGATTCACCACGTTTGGCTATGGCTCTTTCCACAGCCCACCACAGCCCACCGCAGCCCACCGCAGCCCACCGCAGCCCACCGCGGCCCACCACAGCCTCACCTGCGCGAGGGCGGTTGGACTCAAAGTGGGTGCGCGTAGCCCTGGCAACGCAGCTAGGACACCACAGGTCACCTGAACGCCACCCAAACTCCCAAACCCCCCCACTCCCCTCGTGTTCTCACCTGGCGGCCTGTCAAACAGCACAGCGCGCGGGCGGTTGGATTCAAAGTGCGTGCGCGTGGCCCTAGTGTGAGGTGTCACAAGGCACACACTAGCACTGCATGCACGTGTCACAAGGCACACACTAGCACTGCATGCACGTGTCACAAGGCACACACTAGCACTGCATGCACGTGTCACAAGGCACACACTAGCACTGCATGCACGTGTCACAAGGCACACACTAGCACTGCATGCACGTGTCACAAGGCACACACTAGCACTGCATGCACGTGTCACAAGGCACACACTAGCACTGCATGCACGTGTCACAAGGCACACACTAGCACTGCATGCACGTGTCACAAGGCACACACTAGCACTGCATGCACGCGTCACAAGGCACACACTAGCACTGCATGCACGTGTCACAAGGCACACACTAGCACTGCATGCACGTGTCACAAGGCACACACTAGCACTGCATGCACGTGTCACAAGGCACACACTAGCACTGCATGCACCTGAAAGGCCATAAACGGCTCAAGGCCCCCTAACACCCCACTCCCTTGTGTCCTCACCTGGCGGCCCGTCAAACAGCACGGCACGTGGACGGTTGGACTCAAAGTGGGTGCGTGTAGCCCTGGCAATGCTGTCATACACGTCAGGGCGGAGCAGGGCGAGCAGCACCGTGTCCTCTATCTCGCTGCAGCGGGAAAGGGGGAATGAGGTGAACGGGGGGTGCGGGGGGGGGCGGGGGGAGCGGGGGGAACAGGGGGATCACAGGGGCAAAGTGGGTGCGTGTGGCTCTGGCAATGCTGTCATAGACGTCACGGCGGAGTAGAGCCAGCAGCACGTTTCTTACCGTTTCTGCTCCTCATATCCAACCAGATTGCCCCAATCCATCCACCTCCTCTCATCCCCTTTCCCCTCCTCCTCCCCCCCCTCCTGTACCTCCTCTCCCTCCTCCTCCTCCTCCTCCCCCTCCTCCCACTCCCCATCTCCCCTCCCACCCTCTCCCTCATCTCCCCCAGGTGCGTAAACCATCACTCCCATGCGCTGAAGCTTCTCAGCAATTGCCTGGGACATGCCTGTGTGCCCCTCCCCACCACTACCACCACCGCCAGCACCGCTGTTGCTGCTGCCACTGCCAGTGGCACTCTTGCTGCTGTATCCACCCCCACCAATACCACCACTGCCACCACCATAGTAGCCCCTACCATCGCCGTGCCCACCGCTGTAACCACCACTCAAGCCCTTGCCGCTTGTGCTTCTGTCAGGAGATCTGTCAGGAGACGGCAACAGTGAGCCGCTTCTGTTGGCATGACCACTACCAACGCCACTACTGCTGCGGCTGCTGCCACCAGGCCCAGCCTGCTGCTGAGGCCGGAAGGGTGCTGAGCTCTCGATTGCTGATTGGACGGTGCTGACGATGATGTCAAGCTCTGCGGGTGTGAATGCGCCTGGCTTGAGAAACTCGACCTCCTGAGAAGGAAAATAGGGAGAGGAGAAAGGGAGATGAGCTGTCGATTGCTGATTGGACGGTGCTGACGATGATGTCAAGCTCTGCGGATGTGAATGCGCCTGGCTTGAGAAACTCGACCTCCTGAGAGGGGGAGGGGACGGCGAGGGAGAGGAGGAGACGGCGAGGGAGAGGAGGAGACGGCGAGGGAGAGGGGGAGACGTAAATCGGAAGGAAGGAGGAACGCATACATACGGGTGAGATGGAGCAATTCAGACGCAATTCAGGAAGCGCCGAGGAAATCGCACGAAGAAATGCTGAAGACTTTGCCTACACACAACCGATAAGTCGGCAAAAAAAAAAAAAAAAACAACAACAAAACAAAACGGGCCGTAGAAGAGGTGTTTCTTACAAAAGGGCCCATCCCCCCATGGCAATTTTCCAATCGCTTCAAAAAGAAAAGAGGGGCTTACAGGAGTGCCAAGCCCCACGAGGGGTTCGAACAGCAGCACCTTCACAGCGCCCCCACCAGCCACCACCACCGGCTCTGTTGGTTCCACCTGAAGATCCACCTGAGACTCCACTTGAATCCGTGCCTCACTTTCACCCTGCTCAGGCTCCTTAGCGTCTGTGCGCGCGTGTGCTTGAGCTGGCAGGTGCGCATGGGGGAGCAGAGGCATCAGCACCATCTGCCTTGCCACGGGGCTGGGAGGAAAGATAATTGGGAAGACAGCGGAAAGGGGGCCGGGAGACGTGGGAGCAGGAGCAGACGGGATGGTGGATAGGGGCCGGCAGGTGCGCGTGGGGGAGCAGAGGCATCAGCACCATCTGCCGTGCCACGGGGCTGGGAGGAGAGAAGGGGTAAGAAGAGGGGGAAGGGGGGGGATCGGCAAGGGGAACGGCAACGGGGGCAGAATGGATGGGGGCAGCACTGGCAGGTGCGCGTGGGGGAGCAGGGGCATCAGCACCATCTGCCGTGCCACAGGGCTGACGGGGGGAGGAGGAGGAGAGAGGGGAAACGGCAAGGGGAGCGGCAGGCGGGAATGGTGGAGAATGGATGGGGGCAGGGCGTGGATGGGGGCAGGGCGTGGATGGGGGCAGGGCGTGGCAGGTGCGCGCGGGGGAGCAGAGGCATGAGCACCATCTGGCGTGCCACAGGGCTGAGAGAGAGGTCGCAGGGGAATGGGGGAAAAGAAGAGAGCGGAAGGCAGAACAGATTGTGTGGGGCCGGTACAGGCAGGTGCGCGTGGGGAGCAGGGCATCAGCACCATCTGGCGTGCCACAGGGCTGAGAGGCCAGGGGGAAACGGGGCAAGGAAGCCATGGGGTGGTCAGTGGGGAGGGGAAGGGGGAGAATGGATCGGGGCGTTAAGGGCAGGTGCGCGTGGGGAGCAGGGGCATGAGCACCATCTGGCGTGCCACAGGGCTGAGAGGCCAGGGAAAGAGGGAGGGGAAATGGGAAACGACAAGGGGAACGGCAGGGGGGAATGGTGGTGGATGGGGACAGTATGGGCAGGAGTGCGTGGATGGGGAAGCAGGGGCATCACATTTTTTCATTTTTACTTTTGAGGCGCCTCAAAAATTTTGAGGCGCCTCAAAAACAGGGGCATGACATTTTTTCATTTTTACAAATTTTCTTCCTTTTTTTCGCTATTCTCCTGCTCACCTGTCCCATGCATACACAGCCATGCCGCCTGCTCCCACCATGTCCCCAGCATCATCCACTGTCGATGCCTTTTTCTGCACCGCATTCCCAGGCAGGGACGAGTTGAGCGCGGGTGTGATGGCAGGGTGGCAGCCCAAGTGAACAAATGTGACTCATGTTCCCTTCTCCTCTCCCTCGTGTCTCTCCCCCTCACCTGTCCCATGCATACACAGCCATGCCGCCTGCTCCCACCATGTCCTCAGCATCATCCACTGTCGATGCCCTCTTCTGCACCGCATTCCCAGGCAGGGACGAGTTGAGCGCAGGATTGATGGCAGGGTGGCAGCCCAGGTGGGCGATGAGGTGGGTGAGCAGAGCAGAGAGGTCGCAGGAGGCTGGTAGACGCATGCGCACAGAGACCTGGTGGGTGATGGGTGATGGGTATAACAGCAAGGGATGGCAGCAAAGGATTGAGGTGGGGAAGCAGCAGCCAGGCGGGCAATGAGGTGGGTGAGAAGAGCAGAGAGGTCGCAGGAGGCAGGCAGACGCATCAAGGGATGGCAGTGAAGCAATGAGGTGGGGAAGCAGCAGCCGGGTGGCAGCCCAGGTGGGCGATGAGGTGGGCAATGAGGTGGGTGAGCAGAGCGGAGAGATGGCAGACATTGGTGGGTGAAGGAGGACAGGCAGGCAGGTGAACAGTCTATTGAAGGAATTTTTTAGTCGACTCAAATGTCAGTCCAGGTGGGCGATGAGGTGGGTGAGCAGAGCAGAGAGATGGCAGACACTGGCGGGTGAAGGAGGACAGGCAGGCAGGTGAACAGTCTATTATTAAAGGAATGCTTTCAATCGCGGATCAGGTCAGAAGAGAAGAGCCCAGAAGGATGAAGAAGCGCATACATGGGAAACCACATGTTCCATGAAATGTCGGATTACCGTTCACAACCATGTTAGAATGCCGAATCACCGTCCATAACTGCATTCGGACGCCGAATCACCGTTTACAGCCATATTCAATATTATTTTTTCTGCTGACATTTATGCATGCATACCTGATGGCCCTTGCAGGTGACAACTGGAGTAGGTAGTATATACGTCTCTGCACCCACACTGCCACCCCCCCCGCCACCTTCCTCCGTCCTCCTCTTCTCCTCCTCCGCCTCCCGTTTCAGTCTCATTCGATACAGCCTCACCAGCAACCCCCTCCTCGCCGCCCGCACCGCCAGCTCTAGAGCTTCTGCTCCCCCTGCCGCCGAATCTCCCACAGATTCTCCTGGATTCGATTTAATTGATTCTGGTGCTACAGCCCCTGAGTCTGTAACTCCTGGTGTAACCCTTGATGCAGGCTCGGATGTAGGAGGGTTGGAATTTGAAGGTTCTGGAGGGCCAGAATCACAATGACCGTATTCTGGTTCTAGGGTTGGTGCTGATGCTACTGCTGCCGCTGTTGCTGCGGAGGCTGTTGCTAGGCTTGCCAACGTGGCAGACGACCAATGGGTTCTGCTGCTGCTGCTGCTGCGTGCTGAGATGGACTGCGATGCTGACGTGGACGATGCGGGAATCTGTGACGACAGGTGAAGAGCTGCTGCATAAATCCAACGAATTTCTCCACTGACATGGCCAGATTTGTGCAGAGGTGGACGAGGAGAATGCGACGAGGCAGAATCCAGCCGACTCACGAAAAGGCGTTGGAATGAGAATAAATGCCTTAAATTCTGACGCCAAAGGGGTACATGACGTGGCCCCATGGCAATCGAGGATTTACAGACTCCGCGCTACACGTAGCGTGTTGAGTCTGTGAACACTATGTTGGAAGTGCAGGGCCTCGCATCAACACGCTACGGGTCGAACCACGGACACGGCAGATCCCGTGCACAGTATCCCTAAAGTGCATAATCCCTAGACTAAAGTTTTGCGACGCTTCGTTCTGGATGGAAGTCACGAGAAATGCAACTTCCCGAAAAATGTTTATGGAAAGCGTAGAGAACACGCTAGAAGAATAAAAGTGGTGCTCCTTCACAACATGACTCGCTTTACTGATAAGTGTAAGTTTAGAAATGAACGAACAGGTTAGATGGGTATGATTATCATTGGCCACGCGCAGTTTCTGGTTAGCCTGACGAAGCTTCACGAAATAGCTGATTGCTGTCGCCAATCTCGACTCTGCCCCTGGCCAATCCCCACCTTCCCGCAGTCCGACCTTTTTCTGATCCCGAATCGTAGAAAAGCACGTCAAGCCAACCAGAGCAGGAGCGCTTCGTAACCTCAGTCGACTCTGTCCAATCAATTTTCGTTGTAGCCTGCACCACTCGTTGGGGGAAACGAGCAAATCACCACTCTGCTGAATCACCCAATACACGTCATCCCACGCATTGGTCACGCTGGCTCAAGAGCATATTCTGCTCGCGTTCCTGAACGCGACTGCCCCGAACTGTCGGAGCTTGAATACGTGTGCCAATCGGGGAAAGCTTCAGATTTCGCGTCGGCTTCCCCAACCTGGCACCCACAGACTTCCCCGCCAAACTGCCCCGTAACACGTCAGCGCGCTACGTCTTTCTCCCCCCCTCCCCTCACAACAATCTCTCCCAACCTAACCCAAACCACTTCCGCTCGCACCTTCCCCCTTCCCCCAACACCCGATTCGTTGGGGGGCAAATCTCGACCATGGCTGGTCGAATCGAGCACGTTGAACCGTCGGATGTTTTCGATACGCCAAATGACTTTCATGTCCGCTCAGCAGCCGCGTTGATCCCCAAGAGCTTCATCCAAAGCAGCAGTCCTCCCCACGAGCATACCCGTCGCACAGTAGTCCTCTCAGGTCAGGTGCGCGACCTCCCCCGATTCTCCAATCAGGATAAACCAGATTCTGCGAAAGACCTGGCGCACCAGTTGGAGGTCAAGAAGTGCGGAGGAAATTTTAGGGGGAAAGGACAGGGGAAAGCCGCGCGCGAGAGTCGCACAGGCAAACAGTTGGAGGAACCGACGAGGGTTACTGCCAGGAGCAGCAACTGCTTCGTAGGCTGGTGGTGCGATCTTCTGTCTGAGATACACCCGAACATAGAATGGAGGGATGTGTGAGTGATTGTCAAATGTCAACCCAGAAACAGCAATAGCGGTCAAGCCCATACTCATGTATGAGGAACCATCACAATGGCCCTGGCACATGGCAGCTCCCGCCTAATCGCCCTACATGCCGCTTCGTCTAAATTAATTTCTCACTGAATCTGACGACCCTTGGGCACGTCATACGACCTCTCTTCAATCAAACTTCGAACTTCCTATTTCAGCTTGGTCTTTTTAGGACGACACTACTAGTGTCGTAGAGGCTGCGCACCGCCGCATAATTATTGTTCCCCGTTTAGCGACTACCAAACGTCGGCTGTCTCTGATTTGCGACCAAGGACTACTAGGTAATAGTCGTTCTACGAAACGCGGAGCATCTAGAAAAGAACCTGCACCGTACGATCTGAGATCTATGGGAAAGCTAAGCCCCGTGGGGCCGAAGCTGGGACACTGCTACGGTCCGCAGAAGGAGGCCGCGCGACCGCAGCTGCTCTCCCCAGGCGCTTATCAGGTGCCGCTTAATAACTTTTTTCTTGTAACTAGTACGACGCGTATCCGGTGGCTGTCGCGATACGCCACTTCAGTGCGTTTTAGTTTAAGCCTTTATTATCTGCGGATCCTTTAAGAGTACTCTCTCGTTAGGAGACGCGCAATTCGTATTTTCTTGCGTTTTCTTCTCGTTAGGAGTCGCGGCATGCACTGCAGCCGTGTTTAGCGACTCAGATCTAAACCCGGCCGCGACCATATGTGCTTAATTGCTCCAAGTCGCACCGAGGCAATTGTCTGGAGCTTGTCTTCCTACTCGCCTCGTCGTACCGCCCTCTGTCGCCTCGCTTCTGTTCATGTCGACTCACTCATCCCACTTTCTTCCCATCTCGTTCCTACTATCGCTGAGCCGCGCTTCTATCTCTTACCCAATCCCAACCCCGTTTCGTGCGCGGGATGTGTTGGAATGACAGAAACTATTTCCCCGTTTTGTGCCGTAACCCCGTCCCGCTCTCCCTCATTTCCCCCTCCCTCTCCCCCTTCCCCCGCCCCTCTTCCCCAGTCTCCCCCTTTTCCTCCTTTCCATCCTCCCCTCTTTCTCCTCCCCTCTTTCTCCTCCCGCTCTCGCCGCTTTTGCGCGTGAATCTTCCAGGCCTCGTCGCCTCTCCCCTCGTTACGTTGGTGCTCCTCGTCATCCCTGTTCTTTTTCTCTTTTCCACCACTTTCTCCCCCCAATCTCTCCTTATCCTCCCCCATCCCTCCGCCCTCTTCCCACGCTCACCGCTTTTGCGCGTGGATTCTTCAGGCCTCGTCGCCGCTCCCCTCGTTGCTCCGCTGCCACGTCAGTCACGCTTCTTCCGCCCTTCCCATCCCGCCGCGGACCACGACAGCAACGGGGGCGGCCAATGAGGGCGATCCACGTGGCAGCGGGCGCAAGAAACTGCGCCCCTGTCTCTCCGCCCCGCCCCTGTACATATCCTCCTTCTTCTACAAGAACGTCGTTGCGCCTCTGCGCTCCGCCCGCTCCCCCTCCGCCCACTCTCCCCCCGCCCGCCCTCCCGGTTCCCCGCACTCCCCCGGACCACCGACTTTCCGCCGCGCCTCCTCCGCCTGCTCCGCTTTTTCCGCCAACCGCAAGGCGGGAAATTCTTCGCTGCCGAGCTCGCGCCTGCCCCCCCTACTCCCTGCCTCCCCGCGACATCCTTCCCCCTCTTCCCCGCCCTCATCCCCCTTCCTTTCCCGCTCCCCCTCCTTCCTCCCCAGATCCTCGTCTCTCTCCTCCGCTTCTTCCTGCCCCTCCCCCCACTCCCTCTCCTCCCCTTCCTCTCTCCCCCCGTCCCCCGCGCTCACATCTCCGCTCTCTACCCGTCCGCGGACGTTGTCCGGCAAGACGGCCGGCGGAACAACCGGCGCCGGCAAAGTGGAAGCTCGCGCCCTTCGCTCAGGACTCCCGGCGGCTAGCCGGCGGTCGCGACGGCAGCCGGCTGACGACGAGGAAGAATATTTTTATTTTCTGCCCGATATTGAGGACGATTGGGAGGAAGAGGAGGCGGTTCAGAGACACCGGCGGGAGGGGCAGCGGTGGCGGGGGGATATCGGCGGAGAGGCGCAGGGGAAGCGCGCGGACGCGGAGCGCGGGGAGCTGGGGGGAAGCCCCGGGTACGGGATCGGATCTGGGACTGCGAATCTGTATGATAGCAGCAGCAATGGCGGCAGTATCGGCGGTGGGGACGGGTTGAGCAGCTACGGGCAATACCAGGAGTTACATCAACACGCGTTTCATCAGCCGTTACAGTATCAACAGCAGCCGCAGCCGCAAAACTGGTACTCGTACGGGCACCCGGATTCACAACAGCAGCAGCCTCTGCAACCAGGACAGCTGCAATGGCAGCAGCAACAACAACAGCAGCCGCTGCAGGGACAGCAACCGGAGCAGCAACAGCAGGAACAGCAGTGGTGGCAGCAGCAACAGCAGGAGCAGCAGTGGCGGCACCAGCAGCAAACGAGCGATCGGGAGAGTGATTTTCAACGCCAACGGGAGCAGCTTTGGGGGTGGCAGCAGCAGCAGCAGGAGCAGTTATGGCAGCAGCAACAGCAGCAGCAGGAGGCGCAGTGGCAGCAATCGGAATTACAGTCACGGCTGCAGCAGCAACAGCTACAGCAGCGTCAGCAGCAGCCGCAGAGTGGTGACGTGGCAGCAGTGCCAACGTCACAGAACCAGGAGCAGCAGCGACACGTCAGCAGCCGCGGCCAGGAGCAAAAACACCACCACCACAAGCACGGGCATGCACATGGACACGGGCACGGACACGGGCATGGGCATGGGCATGGGCATGAGAAGGGAAAGGGGCATGGGCACGAGAAGAGCAAGGCGGTTTCAGGGTGGCTCCCCCCCTCCCAGGCGCACGTGCGGAGGCAGGTGGCGCAGTGGAGTGTGAAGGCGTTGAGAGCGGTGAAGGACAACATGGCGCTGTCTCTGCCGCCTGAGTCGCTCATTCTCGTGGTGTCGTGCCTTGTGGGCGTGCTGACTGGCTCGTCCGTGGTGCTATTTAACGATACGGTGAGTTGTGCTAGCTTCTAGCTTTGAGACAGCTCAAACGCAACCCCTGTGGACAGTGAGAGAGTACCTTGGGCGTTGTGTCGTGCCTCGTGGGCGTGCTGACTGGCTCGTCCGTGGTGCTATTTAATAATACGGCGAGTTTTACCAAGTTATGGCCTTGCCGGAAAGTGCTCCGAACTTAATTATCCGAGCCTTGCGGTTAAGCTCAGAAGGTTTTAATAATACGAGGAGGGCTCCACGTGTCTGGCTCGTTTGAAAAATTTCAGATTCCACCATGTACCATCACCACTCTCACTCCTCCCAACCGCTCACCACCGCTCCCCGCCACCCCCAGGTGCACATCATCAGAGACACGCTCTTTCAAAACGTGCCTCACGAGGAGGGCTCCGCGTGGCTGAGGGACCAACCAGTGGGCGACGTGTGGCACCTCTTCCTGGTTCCTCTGGCCGGCGGCATAGCCGTTGGTATCCTCAACTCCCTCAGGTCTGGGCTTAAGGATACTGCCCCCACCCGCACGCAGCAGCAGCAGCAGCGCCAGCAGCAGCAGCAGCAGCAGCAGCGCCAGCAGCAGCAGCAGCAGCAGCGCCAGCAGCAGCAGCAGCAGGAGGGGGAAAGAACGGAGAAGCAGGATGGGAAGGATCAGACAAAGTTTCCCAAGCAGCCAGCCTTCTCCCTGCCGTTTCTCACCCCGGATGACGTTTCCGAGCTTAACCGCAAGTCTCGGGCCGTGGCTCGGCCGGTCCTGAAAGCCCTGGCAGCAGCGGTCACGCTCGGCACGGGGAACAGCCTCGGTCCGGAAGGCCCGAGCGTGGAAATCGGGTCCAGCATCGGGAAGGCCACAGGGAGCATCGTCCGGGGAAGCCGCGAGCGCACGATCGCACTCGTAGCAGCAGGATCCGCCGCGGGTATAGCATCGGGGTTCAACGCTGCAGTTGCCGGGTGTTTCTTTGCTCTGGAATCCGTTCTTCGGTCGTCCACGCAAGGCTCCCCTGCTAGCCTCACCACGGCCATGATCCTTCTGTCTTCCGTTCTTGCTGCGGTGGTTTCCCAGGCTGGCTTGGGCGCAGACCCATCCATCCATGTGCCCTTATACGAGCTCCGATCGCCGGCGGAGCTGCCGCTGTATCTCCTCCTGGGGTTGTGCTGTGGGGGAGTGTCGATCTCGCTCACGCGCTCAGCGGCGTTCTTCTCGTCGATGTTTGACGGGTTGGAGGCGAACACAGCTGTGCCGCCCGTGCTGCTGCCGGCGATCGGAGGGCTGGGGATTGGGGTGATCTCCCTGGTGTATCCCGAGGTGCTCTATTGGGGGTTTCAAAACGTGAATGACCTCATCACGTCACACCCACTCGTGGCTTCGCCTGCGGTACGTGCTGTGTTGCTTGCTGTCATGCTGCATGCTTTGAGTGCTGGTGTATCCTGAGGTGCTCTACTGGGGGTTTCAGAAGGTGAATGACCTCATCACGTCACACCCACTGGTGGCCTCCCCTGCGGTGAGTGCTTCAATGGTCTGCTTAGGGTTCAGAGGGGATCCGCGCCTGTCTGCCAGCTATCGGAGGGCTGGGCATCGGGGTGATCTCGCTGGTGTATCCCGAGGTGCTCTACTGGGGGTTTCAGAACGTGAATGACCTCATCACGTCACACCCACTGGTGGCCTCTCCTGCAGTAAGTGCTCCGCAGCATGCTGCTTCGCTCTCCTACCGTCGGTCTTGATAGAGGCGGCATTGGGGTGGCTTCTGATGCTCAATCTCCTCTCGTGTTGTCTGCTCCCCTCCCACTGTCTCCCTCCCCCCATCACCAGCCCGGGTTTCTCCTCCAGCTTTTGGTAGTCAAGGGCCTCGTCACGGCCTTCTGTCGCTGCTCACACGACTCGTACACAGATTTTGGTGCATCTGTCCCCTTCATCTCCCTCTCGCCCTTCTCCCTTCCCCCATCACCAGCCGGGGTTCCTGCTGCAGCTAGTGGTAGCCAAGGTGCTCGCCACAGCCTTCTGTCGCAGCTCTCGCCTCGTGGGCGGCTTCTATACGCCCTCGCTCTTCATCGGGGGGGTTCTGGTGCTCATTCCGCTCCTCATCTTCTCTCTCTCCACCCCACCCCCTTCCCCCCTTTCCTCCTCTCGTATGTCTCTCCTTTCTACTTCTCAATCCCCATTGTCCCCATCACCAGCCGGGGTTCCTGCTGCAGCTAGTGGTAGTCAAGGTCCTCGCCACGGCCTTCTGTCGCGGGTCGCGCCTCGTGGGTGGCTTCTACGCGCCCTCGCTCTTCATCGGGGCGGCGCTCGGGGCGGCATACGGGCGGCTGGCCAGTGACGTGCTGGCGTTCATTGACCCGGATCTCACCCTCACGTGGATCCAAGTGGCTGCTCCCCAGGCCTATGCTATGGTAAGGCTTGCCCTCTTTCCTTGCTCACTATCTTCTCACGTTGACTTTTGAGTTGACTCAAAAGTGCTCCCCAGGCCTATGCTATGGTAAGGCTTGCCCTCTTTCCTTGCTCACTATCTCCTCACCCGCTCTTTCTCCTCCCTCTCTTCTCATACTCTTCTCCCAGGCCTATGTCTTAGTAGGCTTAGCTCTTTCTATGGCTGTCTAACCTTGCTCGCTTTTTCACTCTCTCCGCAATCCAACCCTCCCAACCTCGTTTCCCTGTCTCCCTCCCCTCAACTTCAACCCCACCCTCATCAGGTGGGAATGGCAGCGACACTAGCAGGAGTATGCCAAGTTCCCTTAACCTCCGTGCTCCTGCTCTTTGAGCTCACTCGCAACTACCACATTATTCTGCCCCTAATGGCTGCTGCGCCCCTCCCTTTCCCCCCCTCTCCTCCCCAACTGCCATCAGGTGGGAATGGCAGCTACCCTGGCAGGAGTGTGCCAAGTACCCCTGACATCCGTCCTCCTGCTCTTCGAGCTCACACGTGACTACCGCATCATTCTCCCGCTCATGGCAGCAGTCGGCATCTCCTCCTGGCTCGCCTCCACTGCCGCCCGAAAGCCTCGCCGCCCCCAACCGGGCGGCGTCACCGTCTTTGCTCCCTCCAACTCCCCCTCCTCCTCCTCCTCTTCATTCCCTTCCTCCCCTCCTTACTCCTCTTCCTCCCCTTCCTCATCCTCCTCCTCCTCCTACCCATATCCGACTTCGTATTATCCCAGTCCTCTCTCCCTGTCGCTCGTGCCGGTTCTACCCCCGTCGCCCGTGCCCCCCTCGCCACTGCTCTATTCTGGGGCAGGCTCCTATGCTCCTGGTCCTCCTGCTGCTGAAGCTGCTCCTGACGCTGCTGCTGCTGCTGCTACTGCTGCTGCCACTCGTCCTCCCTACTTGGCTTCTCAGGCCCCTGCTGCTCCCCTTCCTTCATACGCGCCGTCTCAGTTCCCTGGCCCTTATCCTGGGGCGCTCTTTACGGGGGATGTTTATTCTGGGTCAGGGTCTTGGGTGGGTGGAGGGGGAGGAGGGGAGGGGATGAGAAGGGAGGCTAGAGGAGAGGAGGTAGGAGGGAGAGAACGGGATGGTGGTGGAGCTGGTGAGGGTGGTGGAGTGAAGGGGGCTGAAGATACCAACAAAACTCCACCTGCAACTGCTGCCTCTACTGCTGCTGCGGCAGCGGCGGCAGCGGCAGCATCTTTTTCTTCTCCCCAGGGGTACACAGCACCTCCTGGTTCTGCTGCGTATGGTCCACCTACTTCTGGTCTGGTTTCTGGCCCTTACGCTGCATCCAACTCTTCTGCCTACGAATCACCACCCATCTCCTCTGCACACTCCTCCTCCCCTTTCGCCTCGCCCTCCTCCTCCCCTCCCTCCTCTCCTAAACGTGCTACCCTCTCCAGAACCCCTTCCTCTGGACCCAAGGTTGCAAGTGCAGCAGCCGCTGCTGCAACAGCAGCTGCAGCGGCGGCAACTGCAGCGGCAGCAGCAGCGGCAGCAGCATCCAGTGCACAGGAGAAGGCGTATGATAATCCCGAGGCTTCGGCGTTCATGCCGGAGCTAGATCTAGCTGCGGAAGTCGCTGCCGAAGCTGCAGGCGTGGCCGCCGAAGCTGCGGCGACTGCTGCCGAAGCTGCCGTGGAAGCAGCAGCGGAAGCAGCCGAAGCTGATAACGTTGCTCTTGCCACAACAGATGGTGATTCCGCCCTTGCTCCCGCTACTCCTCCTGCTCCTTCTGCTCCTCCTGCCAATCCGCTCGTGCCAGCTGTCATACTAGACGTGGCAGGTGGGTCGGGAGGAGGAGTTTCCCCAGGTGGTTTCTCAGGTGGTTCAGCAGCAGCCATGGCGGAGTCAAACGCGACTGTGATTGTACTGGAAAGAGCAAGTGGTCTTGTGCCAGACCCTCTACCCTCTCCTTCCCTTCCTCCTCCTGCAACCTCCTCTCCCATGTCAGTAAACAGTCAAGGGACAGAAGCCAAGGCAGCTCAGGCTGACGCGGCTGCAGCAGAAGTGGCAGCGGCAGCAGCGGTGGCGGCAGCGGCAGCAGTTTCGGTGGTGGTGGATGCAGTTTCCGCAGTTTCGGGGTCACCAGAAGCAACAGCAGCTGCAGCAGCAGCAGCAGTAGCCGCAGCAGCAGTGAGCGGTGTGACAGGAATCGCGCCTGCTAAAGGAGCAGGTGATAGTTCAACAGAAGCAGGATCCACTGAAGTGGGTGCTAGCTCTATTCAAAGGCAAGAAGAAGCTGCAGCGGCAGCGGCAGCAGCTGAATCGCAATCAGAATTTACATCAGAGGGCCCAGAGGGAAGCAACAACGGGCTCTCACAAGAGACCCCATCTGCTGGTTTCTCCTCTCCTTCTCCCGACCTCCCAACCGCAGACCTCCCTCCTCTTCGAATCCCTTCCCCCATCAACCCCCAGTCCGGCTTAATGGCTCCGTCCCAACCCAGCTCTCCTCCTCCTTCTGCTCCACCCTCCTCCCCATCGTTTGCACCCTTCCCCCCGCCGCCTCCCCTTGTTGTCGTCTCGCGCGACGACGGCGTGTCTCTGGACGTGCGCGACGGAGTGTTCTTAGAGGAGCAGCTTTTAGAGGAGCTTCCGGTGGCAGTGGCAATGAACACATCCTTCGCAGCAGTGGGGGTACGAGCCATGGTGCGGGATGCTGTGGCTTCTATGGTGGCGCACAGGCAGTGGTGCTGCTTGGTGCTGCAGGATGGGGGGTACCTGCATGGGCTGCTGACGCTGGTGGATGTTCAGGAGGAGGCGGAGAGACAGCTTTCGGCTGGGGGTGCTGCTGCTGACGTGGAGGCTCTTCCTGTCATTGCCATCTGTCACCAGCATCCTGATTCCGAAGCTTTCCTCCGCTTGCCTTCAGAATCAAATCTTTCTCCAGATGCCAACAGCAACCCTTCGTCCTCTAACTCGTCTGGCATTGCCGCCCGGAGCCGGCCGTCTGAGGCCATCGAGGTGACTTTCCCGGATACCACTCTGCGGGCGGCGCGCGACCGAATGACGGCTCGCGGGCTTAGGCAGCTTCCCGTGGTGCTGCGAGAGGAAATGGTGGTGACGAGAGAGAGGGTGGGCGGCGATGTCTCAGGGAGTGGCAGCAGCAGTGGGAGTGAGAGCGAGAGGGGAAGTGGTGGTTACAGTAGCAGCAGTGGTGGGAGTGGAAGTGAGAGTGAGCGTGGGAGCGGGAGTGAGAGTGAGAGGGAATACCGAAGAGGAAATAATGGATGGGGAAGTGGAGGGGGGAGCAGCGGGAGTGAGAGAGAGGAGGATGATAGCACGGATGGGGAGAGTGGTTCGGATGGCGATGACATCAGCAACAATGATGATGACATGGCACCTGTAGTGCGTCTTCGGGTGCTGGGGTTGGTGGATCGAGACGACATATCGCTTGCTTGCAGGTACACTTCAGATGTAATTTCAAAATTTGTAACTAACCGCACCTGGTTCCACTTGCCTGTCAGTTTTACATCCTGGCTGTTCAGTTACCTCCCCATCATCCACCTCCCCTCCACGCCTGTCCGGTATTCCTTCAACTCACTCACTCGTCTCTCTCCATCTCTTTTCTCATACGCCCTCCCTTCCCTTCCAGGGCGGAGGCCACTCGCCGCCTTCTCTCAGCCCTCCCTCGGGATTTCCGTTCCTCTGGTGGTGGAGGCAGTGGGAGTGCAGGCATGCAGCAGACACAGCTGGACAGCTCTCTCTTCCCAGCTGCATGAGCCATACACTGTCAGCATGTAATCTTATATCTGCATCATAGATTGGAGGATGTGCGAGCACCTTGCGATGGTGCCTGCTCAGGTCAGAAAGCTTGTGGATCGTGGACCTTCCTGTTGGAGACATGGTCTTGTTGGGCCAAATCTGGGGTCTAGGTGGAGGTCACTGTGATCAGGGTGCTTGAAACATGGTGCTAGTTTGAGTACATGATGTACCATGATGTGCCATGCCAACATATTGTAGGCAATGTCCATGTGAGTTGCATGTGTTGCTTTTCAGAACTGCCCTGTAACAAGTGGTTGCGAGTGTACTAGCTCTCCTGTGCAAGTCCTGCATGAAAGCAGTGTTGTGAAATCCATGGCAGGAAACCTTATTCCTGTAAGTACGGTACAGAGGTATTGAGTATGGTTGTAGTCATGTGGCATCTGACCAAAATAGCTCGGGCTTTATTGAATCTTGTGCATTAATGTCAGAGATCTTGGATCTTCTGCAACGATGCCTGCAAGGAAGCGCTTACTTAGCAACAGAAGCTGAGGAAAGAGCACTAAAGCTAGAGCCTAGATAGGGAGGGCTATGTGTAAACATGGCTCCTCCCAGGAAGATGGTGAGGAGCCAGGGCTAGGTAGACAAGCATGAACATGAGCATCACGGGAATGACCAGCAGCGCCGAAGGCGGAGGAGCGATGCTCGGAAGAAGCGCTGGCAGCACTATAAGCAGAAATAGGAAGACGGTCACCACCAGGATTGCACGACGAGACATCATCCGAGCAGCTGGAGGGTTCGTCCCCCCGACTAGTGCGGTTCGCCTCCCTGATTGCCCATCAGATTGATGAGACTCTTGAATATCTTGCTCAGAGAAACCCAGAAGCTCTTCCGCGGGTGGAGCTCTCGTTGCAGCGAGCTCCGAAACGGCGTGAGCGAGATGAGCCTCGACAGCGTCTCCGTGTGACCGGAATTGGTTGCTTTGATACGACATGCCGGGACGACGACGCTGCTGCGGCTGTCCTCCGCGATTTTGGCCGCCGGACATTGAGGAGGAAGAGGCGTATCGATTATCTGCCGGGAACGGTTGGTCGCCAGCTCGCCGAAGCTCGTCACGGTAGGAATTTTGCCGTGACGGTCTTCTCAAAAGGTCTGAAGAAGGAGACGACGAGCTTCCGGATGACCTTCGCTGAATTGGGTTATTGGCGGCGCTGGAGTGGAGAGGATCGGAGTAGGAGGCGAGTCGAGAAGCGGAAGTCGCGGTCGTTTTATGTCCCATGACATGCATGGAAGAGACGTCGGATGGGGACGTGAGCGCAGACGGGTTAGGCGATGCGTGCAGATCGACAGCTGCAGGAAGAAGCAAGGAGGGGTGTGAAGTAAAGCGCGAGAGGTCGAACACTGACCTCTTCCACCTCTGGTCTCCACTGGAGTCCATAACAAGTGTTGAACGTTCCAGCAGAAACGCGCCGCAAGAAAACTGAATCGATTATTGGTTACGGAGTCGTTAAACAAATTGGCTCACTTGTCCATTAATAGGGACAACAAGGAGACGATGCTACCAGATGAGAGGTAAGGTAGATAGATAAGCAACTCCTGTCCAGAACTCAGTTGCCTTGGCTGGAAAACAACAAAACCAAATGGAAGCTCGCTGCGTTTCCCAGCGGTCAAATTTGTGTAAGGAACGGTTGTAAAGGGTACTGAGCAACTACGTTCCGGTCTCGCCTGATATTGGAGTGGTGGTGGAGGGAAGCATAGTATGTCTCAGCAGCGGAAGAATCAAATGTAAGATTCTAGGGAACTGCAAGAGAGTGGAGCGTCTTTTGCGTGGCTGGGAAGAAACCAAAACGACGCACTTTTCGCCTAACAAGGGCAGGTACTCGTGGCCCTCGATCATGGGCTGGGTGCCGAACCTCGGGTGGGGGGGAAATTGCTGCGATGTAAAGTGGTTTGCAAAAGCAAAAGAACGGTTTGGTACGGATTTCTTGTCGAGCCTCGTCCAAGGCTGGAAACTGCTTTTGTCAAAACCATGATATGACCCGCGGCCCTACCGCGGCAAGATCAGAGAGCCGCGGGGATGGGCTGTTTCAACTTTCAAGGAACTCTGGGAAGGGAGGAGCAAAAATTGGATCTGGGCATCCGCGCAAGCTGTAACCAAAGCAGCTGCGGGGGAGGATTATGTGTGCGGAACGGAAGGGAAATGCGGACGCAGGCGAAAATAGGGGGGACCGCTGCCTCCTTCCACTAAGCCGAACTCCGCCGGGTGAGAGGTTTGTGAAAGCCAAGCCAGCAAGCCAGCCTTGACGTGCACACTATATGCTCATTTCATAGTTCTTCCGACTATTAATCTCTGAGTGTACTAACAAGCTCTTGTCCGTACGCTACAGCAGAAGAGCACAACAGCAAACAATACCGTTTACTAACATGATTTACCCTACATTGCCGCATTCAGACGAATGTGCTTGTACAGTATTTTGATAGCAGGTGCGTTGGGGTTCTACAATATTTCTTCCACATTACACTAGATGTCATTATAGCGAGCAAAAGGTGTACAGAAAACACAAATGGAACAGCTGGGATCAAATCAAACCAGGCCGACTGCTAGATGCAACTGAACTCGATACTGGACGACTTGGGATTTTGGGATCTGAACTGTAATCATCTGGGTAAGCAGCAAAGCAAAAACCCACTGCCCATAGTCGAAAACAAACGGCACACTGTGCAAATGTTGAAGAAATGCTGCATGTAATTACAGCTGATGCTCACCCCATGCGCGCGAATTTGCCTTGCGCCGGATGGACACGCTGCACCCGAGGTTGTTTCCCCAGCTTCATGCACCCACATTACAAGCGCGTCAAGCAGAAGAGACCGAAGTCAAGCAGAAGAGACTGAAGTCAAACTAGGTAACTAGGTAGCAGGGTCTTGTTTATAAGCACATGCGAATTCTTTTTAGCTAGCTGCGAAATTGACGAACTTATGCGAAACGCTTGATACAGCTTATATGCCCCCTTCACAAGGCAACCGGGAGGGGCTCAAACAGGCATCAGTACGCACAGACGTCACATACATGTTCTGTTGTCCAGAAGCTGACAACCCGCTTTCCTCTGACTGCCGGTGCTGTCAACACGGGCTTGCTGTAGATATTCATGCTTCTCGACCTTGGCCGCGGCTTCACCACAAAATACGTGGCACGACCCGTATCTCCTTGTTGGACAAGTGCGGCAGCAGATTTGCACAAGCAGCCGAAGCAAGACATCTGGCATCCAGCATTCCTTGTCCCTCTGGTGCACCCAAATGTTGCGGTCATCTTCTTACGAGCTGGCATCGAGGGCCGGTCCGAGTTTATCTAAAACACACTTATTTTTCCCGCAGTTTTGAGATTTGGCTACTGGGCTTAGCGGATAGTCACATTAATTTAGCGTGCCCACAACGGGATAATATTTGCTCAGCTTCCTGGATCGCGGAAACTAAAATTCGTGGATAATGACGTCTGCCCCACATGTGTTCGCGCAACGATTGACGAGGTGCGCTGGCGTCCACAACGAATCGAGTTACTGGTTGGGCTGGGAGGCTGTCACAAAAATGATGACGGGGTGTAGACAGCCGCAACTGCTAGCCACCCCACCACACCCAACCGAAGGAACCCGCCTCCTCCTCCTGACGTCGCTCGAACCAAACCATACGGTACCAGCTGACAGGAGCAAGCCTGGACCAGGAGCCCAATTCACCGCCACGCCATGCCAACAGTACCAGCTAACTTCTTCATCCTCACCAACGCATGGATGGCATTTCCGCGGCTGTGACAGGTCGAAGCTCGTGAGAAGGCACGGGGATGGCAGCAGGTACGGTGGTGTTGTTGACGGACAACGGCCATCTGCAGCGACAGCTTTGCCGCGTAGGTGTGTGTTTTCCACCAATTGCCAGGCGATGCACCTCATACCCAACCAGGGGCGTTTCTGTCCGTGCTCGCCGCACGAGCCTCACCTAGCCGCACCTTCATCTGAGCTGTCTCCCCACACCACACACCTCCCTCCCTCCCCGCTCCCCCACCCCATCCTTGGTCTATCAGAAATTGCTGTAATCGCGTACAAAACTGTGCTGTACAACACGCGGCACACGCCACGTGACTCACTGTCTGTACATCTCACAAACAGCGAACATCTCAAAAATTCTTCTCCTGGTCACACACATTTGAATGACCAGCTCCTACTAGATCGCGTACAAGTTGATTGATTTATCCGCAACAAAAAAATCGAGCTTTTCATACTTTATCTCAGATTCCAGCACAATGTATCGACATCGAGTTCAAGACGACGTCTGCCTTGCACCACAAACAATGTCGCCATTTACTCCTCGCGATCGAGCCGAAGAATTTACCAGCCGCTCCCCGGACAGCGTTTCTGCCGCGACTCTCGACCGCAATAGCGCCGACGGAAGCGTTCATGCGGAAGATTTCGCTGACCGCCTCGCTTTCAGCTCGCAATGCTACCCGGAACGATCAAGTAGTAGCATCGGAAGTGGCGACGGGGGAAGTCATCGTGGAAGCGGAAGTGGCCACGGAAGCCCACGCAGTAGCATTTTCTTGACTCAGCAGCACCGTGATTTGCATCGTCAACAGCAGGAGGGTTTTCCTCCGTCTCTTGCGGCGGAACGGCGTGATCCGCGGTCGAACCGCGCTGGCACCGGTGACGGAGCTGTATACGCAGCCGAGATTGAGTACGGCTACGAGCGTTACAGCCATCCCGGCGCCAAGAGCGGCGCTATTGCCGCCGGAGGCGGAACTTACAGCCAGGTCGATCCGCGCGGCGGCAGCGCACGCGCGAGCACGTTGGGTAGGCAGGACTGGAGCCGCGATAACCCCGCCGCGTTTCGCGCTTCGGAATACGCCGCCGGAAGCGGGTACAGAGCCGCCGCCGCCGCCGCCGGAAGCCGCACGCGGTACAGAAAACCCGGTGCCGCAGAGACGGGGTCGCGTTCCGACATTCGTTTTGGAGCCGCGCGAGGGGGAATGCAAGGCGCG